AATGTTGATGCTCTTCCTTTTCCTTAAAGTGGAGATGGGCTGGACGTGGTGGGTGGGATTTGAAAGGCTTCCCATAGAAATGGCAGGTAATTTGTGTTTCTGAAAGCAGAACTAGGACAAAAGTGATTTTTTTAGAGCTCTCCACCAGTAATTGGTGGGTGGTGAGCTCCCTGTCACCAGAGATGTTCAAGCGGAGGCCAAGGTGCCAGTCAGAGAAATCCCTGCAAAAGCCTGGGCTGTGTGTGTAGGGGTAGGCGAGAATGCTGAGGTCTGCACCCATGGGTGAGGGGCACCGAGGCTCAGGGCCGAGAAAGCACACAGAGCCAGGAAACCCCGTAACCCCACCTAGCTTTGGCCTTACCTGCGGGTGTCCCTGAGGACTTTGCTTTATTCCACCAGTCTTGGTTTATCAACCTGTGAATTGGGCCCAGTAACAGCCCCTTACCCTTCTGGACTCTTGTAAGAATCAAAGTCCATTGGGCACAGGGAGTAATTTTAATGGTACAGGTTGGTGTTCAAACAGAAGCTTCCGCCAGGATTTAGCTCAGTGGCACTGAGTCTGCCTTGCAAGCACAAGGTCCTGAGTTCGATCCCAGGTACTGAAAAAACAAACAAACCCAGAAGCTTGCCTTACTAGCTGAGGATGCCCCAGCCCCTGATTGGGATTTGCCGGAGGAGGAGGCCGGCTGGAGTAGATTGTACCAAGGTGTGTTTCTAGCTCTGGGCTATGGCAGGACTGGGCCAACTCAGCCTGTTTCAGCGGCTTAGTCTGTCTAGGACACAGACAAACACCACCATGCCAACAAATCTGATTCTGTATCCCACCCCAACACTGCATTTCTAAGGGAGAAGACTAAGTTCAGGGCACCGTGGAAACCCTCTTGGTGTTTCCTGCAGACGCTGGTATTTGAGCAGCCAGAGATGCTTACGCTTTGTCTGGCCACAGGGACCTCCCCAGGATGCCTGCCTGGCCCTGCTGGGAGGCCCAGGCAGCCCCACCCCTCCTGTTTGGCCAGGTGCCCACTGCTTTGGCATCGCTGGCTTGGTTGCTGGCTTCTTGGGCGGCCGATCAGCCACAGGGGACCGGAGCCGACGTAGTGTGCTCCCTGGTGTGGCCCCAGGGCCAACAAACAGCGAATGCTCTGGCAGAGCTGTGAACCAGGGAGCAAACACAGGAGCAGCCCCTTCAGTTGCCTGACAGGCAGTGCTGGACTTGGGAACTGGCCTCTTTGGGACCACAGACAGCGGAAGCAGGACAAGTCACCGTGAGTCACGTTTTTACACCTGGTAGGAGGTAAGATGAGGAGCACCTCCTGCTGAGATGGAGCCCAGTCTTCCAGTGCTGTGTAGCTTCTCGAACCTGGGGCTTTTACGCTGATGACAAAGGGCTGTTGAGAGGTAGCTGGGCTCACGCTAATCAAACTGAGGACGCCTCTGAATGGATGCTCTGACCTGTCACCAGCCCCAGGGGCTTCCTCCAAGCACCTCCCATGGGCTCTTCCAGGGGTCCTGCTACCCAGCAGAAGCTCCAGCTTATTATGCACCTACTTACATGAAAAGCAGAGCTGGCAACAGCAGCTGACCCCATGCAGCAATGCCATGTCCTTCAGCCCGTAAGAGCCCTCGTGTTTAACCCTCACCACTAACTAATGGCAGGTAATGTTATGTCCATTTCACAGGTGGAGAAAGCAAGGCTTTCTTCAGCAACACACAGGTCAGGAGTGTACAGGGATTGCAGGGCACAAGGACCGAGACCTCTGCCCCACCCCCAGTGAGGTCCCCGCTGTCTCTCAGTGGAGGCTTCGTTGGCCTCTCCTGTGGCCCGGCCCATTTTAGTTGGCCTGCTAAATGCTACAGCTCTGAACCCCAACCCTGGGCAAGCACTGGAGTCTCCCCAGCCAGGCCCGCCCTGGCCACTTAGAGCCACTGGGGAGGGTCTGCGGCTGGTTCTAGAGTGTAGCCAGGCTTCAGTGTCTGGGCCCTAGAGCCCTTGGGCCATTCTGGGGTTCTCCCTGGTGCTGTGCGTCGGGGGATGGGATAGGTGCATGAGGCCGATCTCCAGTACAGTGGTGCAGAGCTGCCACATAAGGTGCGTGAGTCCCCCGGGAGGTGGCTGCCAATGGACTGTGATGTGTGATGGAGGACAGGTGCTCGCTGGCTGGCGGAAGGAGGTGGACCGGCTCTACATGGGGCCGGAGAGGGAAGAAGCTGGGGCCGGGAGGGGGCCAAGGATGTGGGAGCCTGGAAAGCTGCCTGGCATTCGAGGGAAGCCTGGCCCGGTGTGTGGCCTGGTCACCTGAGCCATAAGCCCCCGGGGCAGGGACTCTGAAGACCCTCCTGAGTATTAGACAGCGTTGGCTTGGCAGAGGGAATGGAAGCCTGTCATTTACAAATCACCAGCCAATGCACAATCTCGGTTTGTCCTCACCATAGCCCTTTAGGTAGATATGAGTACCCTGCATTTCTCAGATGAAGAAAGGGTCTGAGGCCCAGCCAAGTGTGGTGGCACACGACTGTAATCCCGGCACTCTGGGAGGCTGAAGCAGGAGGATCCCACATTCAAGCCCAGCCTGGGTAATTTAGCAAGACTGTGTCTCAAGATAAAAAAAATAAAAAGAGCTGAGGGTATAGCAAGGTGTGAAGGCCCTAGGTTCAACCCCCAGTACCACAGTACCAGAAAGAGAAAGAAAGAGAGAGAGAGAGAGAGAGAGAGAGAGAGAGGAAGGAGGAAGGAGGAAGGAGAGGAGGAAGGGAGGGAGGGAGGGAAGGAGGGAGGGTGCAAGGCCCAGAGTGGTGAGCTGACTTCCTAAGACCACAGAGCTCTTAGAGGCAGGGGAGTACTTGAACCTACTACACCCAATCCACGCTCCATTTCCGGAGCCCTGAGCCAGAGCTATTGAATCAATTATGTCATTCAGTTAGGTCCCAGGTCCTTACCTGGAACGTCCCTGCAGTCACAGCATTCCTGGGACCCATCTCTCCCAGCACAGCGGCCAGGCTGAGATGGAAGGTCCCCACCAAGGGAAGTGTTGGGGTTCATATCCGCCCCCCAGCCAAGCTGCACACGGCCCATTTGTCACTGGTCATAAAATCATGGTGCTGTTTAAAAAGAAGGGAAGAAGATATGTGCCTATTCCTTATCTCCAGGTGCCCAATTCTCCTGCCCCCTACTGTGCTGACTGCACAACACAAAGAAAGATTACTGCTTATTGTCCTGAATTTACTGTCCAGTCATTTTGCTGTTCTCATTTTATGCAATGGGAAGCTGAGCAATTTTCTCCCAGCCCTTTTTATGAATCTAAACCAACCATAAATTGCTGCTGACATCCAGCCCTAAAGGAAAACAGTCGCCCCAGCTCAGCTCTTTGGCCTTTGCTGGGCGCCCGGCTGTCTCTCACAGGCCCCGCCCTTACCGTGGGTCACTTTGGGGCAGTAAGCTGGGGCTGGGGCTCACGTTGCTGTGGAGCAGGTGTGCAGCTGTGGGTAGGAAAGGCTCACAGCCTCGATGGAGGGAGAGCTGGGTCCCCAGGGGTGGAGTTTGCAGAGTGCTTTGTGGGTAGTGGGTCCTGATTCGAATTCCTCAGTACTTCGTGGAGCAGGCAGTGGCAGCCTGGGGCAGGAGCCTGGAGGAACAGCTGTGCAGGCAAGGGATAGGCCAAGGAAGAAGGCAGTGCACGAGACAGGAGAGAGGGACAGGGTGGTGGAAAGCTGTGGCCTTTGGGGCCTGGGCTGGTAAGGTGAAGCCCTCCCATGGCTGGATGAGGGGTTTGGATCTTGCTGCGGGCGGCTGGGTCAGCCGTGGTTTCCAAGCAGGGACTGTGGGATGGAGACCCCACTGGGCTGGGGCAGGGAGAGAGTCACTGTGCCCAGGCATGGTCTGGGGCCCCCCAGCCTGTCTCTGTGGGTGCTGTCAGGGGATCTGCCGGATGCTGTGTTTAAAGCGGTAAATACTGGCCCAGGGTGCACACCGAAGCATTGCTAGTTCTCACCCTGCTTAACAGAAGAGGACGGTTAGACAGAGGGTTAGTATCTTGCCCCAAGTCACACAGCTAGGAAGGGTGTGACAGCCTCATGCTACCCTCCTCACTCGTCTGCCCCTTGGGGGCCACCTGAGGGCCATCCCACCTGGGGGACAAAGCATAGCCAGAGCCAGGACCTCCGCCTCCAGGGCTCCCAGGGGAGGAATCGAGATGCCCATATGTCCTGCTGTCCCAGGTGAGCTGCACAGTGACCAGGCACTTTGGTCCAGACCCAAATCTGCCTCTCCTCACACTGGGGCGACCTTTCAAATAAAAGCGCCAAGTTTCACTTAGCCAGCACGTTTACTGTCCCTCCTCCCCTGCCCTTTGTACCCAAGAGCCAGTGCCAACTAAATGTGTGTGACAAACATCACCATGGCAGTGGTCAGGGTCAGGATTAGGGTAACTTTGGAATGGGAGAGGTGAGCAGAAGGCCCGCTGAGCTGGAAGCCTGGCCCCAAGGCAGGGCTGGGGGAGAGAACCAGAAGAGGAACAGCATTGCTAAGGCTAGGGGCAGACAGTCTGGGAATGGCGAGGGCTCTGGGTGGGGAGCTAGGACTGGGGGCAGAGATGCTAGGACTGGGGGCAGAGATGCCAGGCCCAGATGGGGCAGTGGTCACCCTGCCTAGATGGGAAGTGCTGGGCAGTGAGAGGACAGCAGCTGGCAGGGTCCTGCTGTCTCCGGTGGCGCAGTGCACAGTCATCCATCCGGAGGTGGGAGGAGTCATTCGCAGCTGGGCTCCTAGACCCCCAAGACAGAAGCCCTTCAGGTCCCTCCCAGTGCTGCCCACCCTGTCCCCAGCTCCATGAACCCGCCAGATGCCACATCCACGAGGACGTGCTGGGCTCTGGCAGCAGCTGGTCAGGTTGGGACAGGTGAGGCATGCGGATGGGTCTGGTGTCCTTGCCGCAGGCTCTGGGGTGGTGAGGATGTGTTCTTTCACCCTGGGCCTGGCTGACCAGCTTCATCTCTTGGGACAGAGGCACAGAGCTTCGGCCTGCTGGACCCCAAACTCTGCTACCTGCTGGATGGAATCCTCTTCATCTATGGTGTCATCATCACCGCCCTGTTCCTCAGAGCAAAGGTGGGCAATGTGAGCGCTGCGGGCAGGCACGGGCTTCCCTGCTTGATGGATGTGCGGAGAGCTCCTGGCTTTGCGGTCTTGGGCTTGGGTGATACCCAGGGCTTGGTGTCTCGGGCAAGGCCATGTGTGCGGCCCAGGGGGCTGAGGAAGTGGGGGTGTCTGCCCAGATGGGAGGGAGAACTGGGGAGGGGTGCCTTGGTGAGGAGCTGAGCTCATGCATGAACATCAGTGTCCCATGGCAGGGGCTGTTGTTGGCCAGCCAGCAGCTCCTGCTCAGGCAACTAAGGGCAAGGAGGTGGGGACCCCGTAGCCTCTCCCCTCATCCCTCTGTCCAGCTAGCTGCTAGGCAAGGCCACGTGATCCTTTCTCCTGACACCTCAGTTTCCCCACTGTCAGGGGAGGGCTGGCCAGGGCGCTGGTTCTCATGAGGTGTCTTCGGGGCCAGGAGTGGAAAGAAGGTAGAAGGGATGTCATCTCAGCAGCGCACACTAGACCATTTCCCTTTTGGAGTTTGGTCTCTGCCATGGGATTCCATTTGAAAAATAGTGTCATTTTCTTTTTTTAAACTTGGAGATGCAGCCGTGGCTGATCTCTAAGGTTGTTGCCAATGTTCTTAGTTCCTTCTGGCTGGGGCAGCCGGCACTGGGACAGAGTGGGGCTGTAGCACCAGGCACCCCAGTTCCGCTGCTGGGACCCTGTAACAGCCCCCATGCTCCTGAGTGTCTGGAGAGCCCCTGGGGTGGGCCCTGGACAGTACCCCAAGTTCAGTCCTGAGTGCCAGCCCCGTCTCTCCAAACTGGGCAAGGCCACTTGCCAGGGAAGAGTAAATTTCAGCCCTTCCTGGGGGTTAGCATGCTGGATGCCCAGGTCAAGGTAGGAGCAGAAAGGCCAGTTGAACTCAGAAAAGGGGGCATACCTGTAATCTCAGTGCTCTGGGAGGCTGAGGCAGGAGAATGGCAAGTTTGATCTCAGCCTAGGCAACTTAGTGATTTAGCGAAACCCTGTCTCAGAATACAAAAAGGGCTGGAGATGTAGCTCATTGCCAAGGCTATGGATTCAACCCCCAGTACTGGAAAAAGAAAGGGAAAAGGGGCTGCCGGGCTGTCTAGCCCTGCACAGCCACGAGGGGGTGGAACAGACTCGCTGAGCGTCCTGCGTCTCTGCAGCCCTGCATGGAACAGTCACGCACACTTTCCTATGTTGCAGTTCGGCAGGGGCGCGGAGGTGCCGGTCCACCAGCAGGGCCAGAACCAGCTCTACAATGTAAGTCTGCAGCCCTGACACCCACCCTGTGCCAGTTCCAGCCACGGCCACCTCTAGGCGATCAGTTGTCTAGCCCATTTTCTAGCTGGGGATGCTAACAGTGCCCACAGGGAGGAGCACACACTGGCATGGCTGGATGGAATGTTTTAGAATCTTCACTGCAGGGAGGGACATAGTCACACTTCCAGGCAGAGGACTTCAGGCCCTCATTACCCTCTCTGAGCCTCAGTTTCTTTATTTTCTCATGGGAGTCATCACTTAGCCACTAGATTGCTGAGCATATAGTAGGAAACCTACTGGGCACCTCGGAGGACCCAGACCCGTGTCATGGCACCATCTGCTCTCTGGGAGGGTCTCTGAGCCCAGTGATGGTGTCTATCCCGGTGGACCAGGTGCTGCCACCTCCCTGCCCCCATTCCCACAAGCTGCCACCAGGAGGAAACCCAAACGCCCTGCTGGCCCCGTGCTCCTGATGTGCCTCTCTCCCATGTCTGATGCCTTCCACTTGTAGGAGCTCAATCTAGGACGAAGAGAGGAATATGACGTTTTGGATAAGCGGCGGGCCCGGGACCCCGAGATGGGCGGGAAGCAGGTAAACAACTGGTTCTTGGCAGCAGGACCCCAGGGGGGGCCTGGAGCTAGAGGACTTGCCACGGCCACCCCTCTCCGCCCTCCTCCTGGGCTCCGTCCTGCACAGGAAGGGACCTCCTGCCGTGTATGTCGTCCTGGCCTCATGTTAGTCCAGTCCCCATCTACCTCCCAAGACGGCTCCTTGTCTGTTCTGAGACATGAGGGTGACACCATCTGTCCCAGGAGGACAGACTTGATGCAGGGGCCCACAAGGCAGGGGCTTGAGACCCTGGGCAGGAACTCTGGGGCTGGGCATCCCACCCATCCCAGGGCCAGGGTTGGGCTCAAGGTAGCTCTGACCTCAGACTTCATCATCTCTACACCCTGTGTCGAGGGGAGCAGTTAAACGAGCCAGAGTACAGGCCTCTGGAGGATGGAAACTTTGAGCCCAGCCTGGGCAACTTAGCAAGACTGTCTCAAAATAAACAAAAATTTACAAGGGCTGGGGATGAAGGTCAGTGCAAAGGCCCTGGGTTTAATCCCCAGTCCCAGTGGGGGTCAAGGGAAGCAGGAGACACACAGACCACCTCTCCACTGTCCTGCCCTGGCTCTGTCCCCTCCTCCACCTGGGAGGCCGGGGGGGGGAGCGTGGCCTCAGCACTTCTCAGTAGGACCGGCTCCACTCGGCTGCAAATGGGATTCCACAGCATCTGTCCTCTTGGCTGGGCAAGGCTGGGGAAACCCTGCCAGGAGGGGGGATGATGACCTCCTGGGGCCTGGACCCAGCCCCTCTAACTGCTCCCTGCTGTCTCTCCTAGCCGAGGAGGAAGAACCCCCAGGAAGGCGTGTACAACGTGAGTAGGGGTCATTCACACTTGACCTCATGAAGTTGGGGGGTGAGCAGCGGGAGGCTCTGGGGGATCGGTTCTCCACACTGCAGCCTTCCTTTCTAGGGGGTCCCTTCGCTGGGTCAGGCAGGTTACCTTCAGGCTTGCAGCCTGCGGCACAGCGGCATATAGGAATGCCTCTTAGCTGAGCAGTGTCGCAGGTCTTTTCTGGTCTCTTCCCTCACCTCCCTGCTTTCTGGGCTGGAGTTCACTGGGGAGTGACAGTTCACTGCAAACTAAGCTGGGCGAGAGCAAGGAGGCTTCCTCTTATATACCCGACCACCCTGGGTGTGAACTGGATGGGTGTTTCAGGCCACTAAGAGATTGCTCTCTAGCTCCCTCTCCTTCCTCCTGTTGATCTACACTTCGTGGTGTTGGTGGAGACAACGTGCTCAAATAAACGCTTCTGGGGCTCCAGGTCAGCCCTTGTGTCACCCAGTGTGCCTGCCACGGTCTCCAGCTCCACCTCTTATTTGTAGAGCTTCACTGAGCTGGTCTGCTCCACACGAAGGGCCGAACCCCAAGGGGTAGGTGGAGCTGGTGGCAAGCAGAAGTGCTATAGGGTATAAACGTCACCCAGCCAGCTCGGGAACGAAGAGGCTTCCTCTTGTGGAAGAGCCTATTCTTTTCTGCATTCATCAGTAAAATCAGCGACTCATGCCTTCTCTTCCAGGCACTGCAAAAAGACAAGATGGCAGAGGCCTACAGTGAGATCGGAACGAAGGGCGAGGTGAGTAGAGCTCTGTCCTCAGGCCCACGGAGCTCCTCACGGTCTCCTCCCGTCAGACCCTCAGATAACTTGCAGAAACTTCCTCCTGGTGGTCCCCCGGTTACACTGACTCCGGCTGTCTCCCATTTGGACAGAAGGAAGGGCTGAGGCTCTTTCAGGACGGAAAAACAAATTAGATTCTGTGGTAGCCTAAGCTTTGCAGGAGCAAGTCAGGTCTGTCTCTGACAATGCCCGGAAGTGCTGAGAGCTTCATGGGTGCTGACCCACAGACAGGGGCAGAATGAGAATATGGGGCCGCTTGTTCATAAACGAGGAGGCGTTCCGGGATGGGGAGAGCTGAGTGTGGCACCCTAGCGGGGGCCCAGGTTCACTACAGAGGTTGTATGTCTGTGAAGCCTGAGTGGTTAGTGCCCTGCACCCACACATGGGTCCCCTTTAATTCCCACAATAACCCAGTGAGAAATGCATGCCCTGCAAGGAACAGGGAGATTAAATGACTTACCCAGGTCACATAGCTAGGAAATAGGGGAGCAGGAGTCCAGTCACCTGTACCTGAGCTCATAGCAACAGTTGCCGTTCCCAGCAAGCGTCGTCGATGACTGGCCAAGCATTTCAAGAGCTGCAGAGAGGCCTGTCTATTCCAAGCAGCTGACAACATGGCCAGATGCTGCAGGATTCTAGGAGGATCCAAGCCAGGTCTCCCCTTAGTGTGCAGAGGTGAAGGAGGCCTGAGCAGGGCCTGAGAACCCTTTGGTCCCAGGGCAAGTGCTGGCCGGGAGACAGGCACCTCTGACTTTCCCGGGACCCCTTGAGCGGGGCTCTCAAACAAGCCATGCCTCTAACGACTGCCTTACTTTCTAATGCTTTTCATTTCACAGCGGCGGAGAGCCAAGGGGCACGATGGTCTTTACCAGGTAAGAGCTGGGCCTTCCTTCCTGCGTGGCTCTGTCTGACAAGGGTCGAGACTGAGGCTCCTGCAGTTCACTTTCTGGTAGCACTGGATCTTACCAGCACCTGGGCAGAGTGAGCCCAGCAGCCCAGTGCAGGCCAGTGGCAACTCCACTGTCAGTAAGTCCCAGGGGCAGATGGGACTCAGCCTTGTAGCAGATCACTTGGCTTCAACCAAGAGGCCCTGAGAGCCCCATGGGTTTTTGGCCATAGTAGACAGCAGCAGCAGTGGAGTACAGGCCCCTGAAGGTGCAGACAGAGTAGACAAAGGCCTCTACACAAGTGATTCCCTGTCTTGCATCTGCTACACAGGGCTCTTGCAAAAGCCTTCAATCTTTAGACCTAAGATCTGGGAAGATGCACAGGAAAGTGGAAGAAACAGAAATTAAGTAAAATGATAGCTTCAAAAGGAAAATGCTATTGTAAGCAGGTGTCTGGTTTATGCAAATTAGTGCAAATCATTATGCAAACTAAGTGTAGTCAACCTGCTTTTCTAAAACAGGAACAGGGTTCCTTTCTCTCCCTTTGGCTCCCTGGTCCTGGGCTTTCAGAGTGCAGAGCGACATCAAAAGGGCCCCAGAACTCACCTGCTGGAAACTGGTGTAGCCTGTGCCTTCCCAGCACCTGGACCAACCCTGCCTGCCGCTTCCTGACAAAGGACATGCTGTGGTGGCCGGGCCTGGGGTGGAGGCTCACAGGGGAGGGAGGGCTGAGGTCCAGGAGCTCCACCCTCCCCGTGACAAGTCTAGGCTTCCCATGGGCCCAGGTGTCGGGCAGCCAATTCTCTGGGGCATGCCTGGCCCTACCCTCTGACTCCAGCTCCATATTTGAGGGTGGGAAGCCTTCTTCCTCTTTGGCCTGATGGGAAGCTGGCTGGGCCTAGTTGGTACAGGGCACGGCACTTGGAAAGCTGGGAGAGGGGAGGATTCAGCTAGAAAAGTTGCTGCAAACTGGGGGAGGGGTCCTCCTGGGCTCCCGGAGGCTGGGGAGGCCTGAGGTGGGCTCTTGACCACTCATCTTTTCCAATCTGCTTCCACCAGGGCCTCAGCACGGCTACCAAGGACACCTATGATGCCCTCCACATGCAGACCCTGCCCCCTCGCTAACAGCCAAAGGATTCCACCTCTCACAGCCTGACCTACGGGCGCCCACTTTGTGAAGGACGTAGGATTAAGCATTCACAGCCACCAAAGTGTCCCTGTAGGAATAGGGTGCCTCAAGTTGTAACATTTGGTCTTCTCCAAACCCAAACCATCCCACACAGAACGTCATCCCTGGACTCCCTCAGGGAGGGCCCCCTGCCCCAGGGTGGCTGTCCTGTCCTGGGGTCTTCTGGCTCGCTGGTGACTGTAGACAGCCCCCTTTCCCTGAGGTTCCAGGCCCTGGCTGGGGGACAGCCTCAGTCCCTCTCACAGCTCACCCGTTATGTCTGTGTTTTGTAAAGTCCCCAGGGAAGCCCCGAATGTTAACACATGTCCTGTCTGTATCTTTCTGTCCAAATTTGAGTGGCTTTGCTCCTGCTGTAAATTTGGCTTCTCTCGTCAACCTTCCCTCATTTCAAGGTAGCCTGTCAGGGCCACGTGGTGAAAGGGCCGAAGGCAGCCCTGGCAGCAGCACAGTTTGCTGGGTAGCTGAGGGAGGACAGGGCACAGGAAGGACTATGGGGAGCAGGAGGCCCCTCCCATCAGGTGTGGTTGTCACAGGTGCCCCAGGGACTGAGAGATGGACAAGATAGCCTCCCTTCATGGAGCTCATGCTGAGGGGGAGCACTGGCAAGACAGTATGAATACCGCAAGAAGTGTCACTATGGAGGCTGAGCGAGAGAGGGGTGCAAGCTCGGCCTTCCTCTCAAGCCTGGCCTCACCCCACACTCGGCCTGATTGGCGGGCTGTCCTTACGGAGGTCTTGAAGATGATCTGGCACCATGTAGGCCCCTGACCATCCCTGTGGGCCATGGGAGAAAGCCCTGGACACTTGCTGGACACATGGCCATGGATGGAAACCCTTCTTTGCTCTGCTTGGTTTTAATTTATAATGCCTTGCGTGAGCCTTACTGTTTTGCATAATAAATGTTTCAGTGAAAATGCTGCTTACCCTAAGCTTTATTCCAGCAGTCATCAGGAAACCCGCATGTGGGAACACAGAGGTGGGCATGGGGCACCCAGACACCCCCATGTTTCGTGTGGCAGTGGGGAAAGCATCCTGGGCATCTGGGCTGGTGGCTGTGCCTTGGGAGTGGGAGGGCAGTGCCCATTGCAATGTGATACAGAGCCGAGGGTGACAGGAAAAGCACCTGGCTTCTGGAGGGCAGGGAGACTCACAAGAGACCGGCTGGGAAGAGGTGCACTGTGAGGGGGCCTACATCCCGCCGCAAACAGCAACTGACACGGCAGCACCACGTCTCAGTCCGTAGGACTTGGGGGCAGCAGCGGTATACAACAGGTCTTCTAGGTCAGCTTCCTTCACAAAGTGGCCCTGTCCAGCAGTATTTCCTTTACCTGCAGTGGCTCCAAATCATGTCAACCAATTTCTATGACACAAAGACTAAAATCTGCCCCTGGATTTCTCAAAGAAGTCCAAGACCCTCTACTAATAACCCTTGAACAGGGCTCCAACAGCAATGTGCATCACCGGCAGGCACATATTTAAACAGGCAACTCACAGGGAGAAGGCCCTCGATTTGTAACCCAGCTTTGTAGGGGAATTCTACTCACTGGGCCTGCAAAGCTGAAGTTCATTTCTGTTAGTCAAAGTGGTGACCCTTCTACCTAGGGCTTGTACAGGCTGTGTGATCTGTGTGGCTCGGTTGAAAATAACTTTGGCTCAATTCTGTCAATCTGTCTCAGGGGAAAGTGGGGAGAGCTGGCAGTGAGCTATGGGAGCTAGCCGAGGTGGGGGACCTTCCAGGCTACTGGAGTGTAACAAGGTAGAGGAAGCCAGTTAGGAGAGAACTGAGCCGATGTGCTACAGACACAAGGCTAGGAAGGCAGTCCCTGGGGGATGCAGGCCCAGACCCAAGGTGACAGTGGCTATTCCCGGGTCAGGATTTCTGCCCTTCCTGAGGTTTGCAGCATGCTCTCCATACACGACTGTCTATATACCTTTCTTCCCAAGACACTAGTGAGTGGAAGATAAGCACCATCAACTTATTCCAAGGAAAAAAACCACTATGTTAAACACAAACATCCACTGTCAGACATGAGATCTGATGGAAAGTACAATGAACGTTTAAATGAAAAAAAATTATTACAAAAAAGTCACATTATTAACCCCCCTCAGGATACTCCCCCTGGCTTTGAACACTTATCCCATCGTTCTTGCCACTTTCCGAAGCAGTTCTGAAGTGCTCTTTTGAGTCTTTAGCTGCACTGTAGTGGCTGCCTCAATGTCCTGAATCGATTCAAAACATTTCCATTCCATGGTCGTTTTGACCTTGGAGAAGCACCAAGTCACATGATGCCAATCTGGTGAATAAGGTGTTTGAGGACACACAGTGATGTTTTTATTAGCCTGCCTTTCTGCTGGATGGCACTTGGCAGCAGCATTCACTGCATTTTTCATCAAACCTTGTAAAAACACTCATGAAAGAAAATTTCCAGAACTGCTTCAGAAAGTAGCAAGAATGCTGGGATAAGTGTTTGAAGCAAGGGAGAGTATTCTGAGGGAAATTAATGGCAATGTGCCTTACTGTAACGAATCTTTTTAAGCATCTACTTTATATTGCAATCACACCTCATAGTCCCGTTTCATGTGTTAAAATGTAGAAATGTACCTTAAAATCAAGAGAACATGGAATTATACTTGAATTGAGGGACCAAGATATTATATTTATATAAATGAAGATGGAAACTCAGTATCAGTTTTCTTTCCTTCTTAGTCTTAAGATTTGGGGTTTTTCACAAGAAACTTGATGTTCCTCAATAACAAACACAACAATATTCAAACACACCAAGAGCTTCCACCCTGGTCTGTGGAGTAAGAAAATGCTCCAAGAGGGCAGGAAGGGTACCTCTTGTTCCTTCCCCTAAGGAGCTGGGCTCCTACACTACAGCTACCTTATAAAAAGGACTGCAGTCTTGTCTCAGAGTCTACTCAGTAGTTTATCCGCATTACTTAGAGTGGACCACAGGGCTTTGCTTGCGGAGGTCTTTCTTATGCTAGGGTGCATGCTGTCTACCAAACAGTTTTCGGATGACAGGTGTGGTGGTGCGTACCTGTAATCCCAGCACTCCGAGAGGCCGAGGCAGGAAGATTACAAGTTTGAGCCCAGTCTGGGCAACTTAGCAACTTGGTGAGTTCCTGTCAAAAAAAATAATAAAGGACTGCGGATGTAGGGTGAAGACCCTGGGTTCAAGTCCCACTAGTGCAAAAAAAAAAAAAAAAAAGGAAGAAAAAAATATATATATATTTTTTGGTATCAGGGATCGAACTTGGGTCCTTGTGCTTGCGCAGCAGGTGGCGAAACCACTGAGCTAAATCTCTGGCCCGGAAGAAAATATTTTTAAAGAAAATAACTTTACAAATTTACATGCAAACTATAAATACAAGGGAAGAAATGGAGAAGTTCTTTGATGTAGGAACAGGAACAGGAGAGATGATGACGTATGTGTCTTTGCTTTTGTCCCTCGACAAGACCACAGCCTCCACCGGATAGCAGAGCTCTCTCCATCCAGGAATTCACAGAGAACAACCATCAGTCGGATCTGTCAGCACAGGGTAGACAGCGACACTTCCGCCAGCTCGCTCCAACAAGCACGTTTTCTGTGGGACACTCATTTTCAGATTCAGATTTTCCTTCCTATGAAACGAATGAATTTTATGAAGGCCCCATAGGGAAGCTAAGGAAGCCAAGCTGTGCAGCCTCGGACAGGAGAACCGAGGGGCCGGGGCGGCCTCTGTGGAGGCCCAGGCATCAGTGAACTGCAGCCCCACGGAGCTCTGAAGAATTTCCTTGCAGGATCAGCCAAGGGCCAGTGTTTGATTACACAAAGCCTTGGCCTGGAGGCTGAGACTCAACTCAAGGTCCCACTGCACCCCACCGAGGCCTGGGGAGGGAAGCTGCGACGGTCACGGCTCCCCGTGGCAGGAGCAGGAAACCCGGAGAGCAGGGCAGGACCAGTTAGTTGGCTTGCAGTGGGCCAGGGCTCCCCCCGAGAATGTCAGGAAAGGGAAGTGGGGGGCTTCTGTCTGTGAGAAGGTGTGTGAAGCATTCCCGAAAACCAATGCAGCAATTTCAGAGAAACTCCAACAATGTGAAAACACTTGGAAAATGGTTTAATGATGTTTTACAACAGAAATGAACTGTACAGTTACAGTAAGTTTAATATATATATAAAAAATTACAGCAGACAAATGCATCTACACAAAGTCTACCAATTCATTCAGATTCACTGGCACCTACAGTCTCTCCCAGCCTACAGCCCCCTGCAGGCAGCCCCAGGAGGGGGAATCATATAAAGGGCACTTTAAAAGAGACAGCACCGCTCATAGTCCCCACCACCTCCTCAGGCCTCAGGAGGCATCAGCTAATTCCCCAACTTGTAAAGTCGCCTGTGTTTCAGGTTTGCAAAACCAAGAAAACGTGTTAACAAAGGGGATAGATAACAAGGTCCAGCGTTCCCAGTTTTCAGCGGACCGACCAGCAGGGGAAATGGCTAAGCAGGTGCTCCGGGTCAGTGAGGCTACACAATAGCCACCCAGATTGCAGTCATCTAGGAGAAATGTAAAAGGACTCCCAACAAACTACTGAGAAATTGTCACTGCCTCCCATTAAAGCTGCTGGACAATTTTGGAAAGAATCATTTACACCACATCTTAAGTTTCCACAAAGAAGAACTCATAAAACTCACATTTTAAAGTACATAAAACAAAAAGTTTTGGGAGGCCAAGGGGCTAAGTCCCCTTGTGCCCCTCCCTTGATAACAGTGGAAAAACACCCCTGAATCGATATTAAAAGAAAAAAAAAAGGAAAGAAAAGGCAAGGGAGTTAAGATATTTAAAGACAGGAAACATCTTTAGAAAAACACGATCACTGTCTCTTTAAAACAAAACAAAACAAAACCCCCAGTTGGGCACAGTAATCAGTGACTATGCAATCCAATTGACACCCGGTAGAGGATTATTACTCAATATTATGTACACTCAGAACTTTTTCATTTTCTTTTTTATTATGAACACCTAGGCAGTGAAAACTGTTATGTTAATACATACATAGACACACCCAAAACATACAAAAATACTATTATTTCAAACTACTAAGAATAGGACAGCTCAATTATTTTCATGCTATGACTTTAAGAGCATTACACTGAAACAAACAAGAAGTTAAACGACATTTTTTTTTAATATCCCAGAAATATACCAAAATATACATCTAAGCTTTGGAATTACTGAGGTTAGACTAATGCAAGTGCTGGGTAATCGTACTTAATACACAAGTCTAAGGTTCTGCAGGAAAGAAATTATCTTTGGTATCTGCATCAGGCTAATATTATTAACATTTGGATTTTGCTTTGGGATAGAGCTTGTATGACCCTAGAACCAAATACCCCCCTCCCCCAATCAACTGAGATTAAAAAGATCTGTGTAAAAAGTTCCTTCATTTGCAATCCCCCCACCCCCCAAGTTAAAAAGTCACAGGCATCTACCTAGCACAAAAGGTTGTGAGATACAATGCATAGTTGCACAGTGGTGCTGCAAAAAGGAAACAAAACTACAATAAAGAGAAATGAAAAGCTTGATAATCATTCTGCATGTTTTCTCACAAACAGGACAGCCACTTCCAAGCAGTTCCAGCAAAGGAAAAGAGAAAAAGGCTCAGAAGGGCCCCTCCACTTGTCCGCCCAGCCCGAGGTGAAAGCACCCAGCAGAGCAGCCAGTCCTGTGCCGTGTCTTCAACGCCCCACTCTGTGGCGTCCTGGGCCAGTCCAACAGCAGCTCTGGCTCCCTGGTCCCTGCGCTAAGTCCCCGTGGTGACCCTGGTTGTTTACGGTGGTGATGGGGTTTTGGCTTTTGTTTTGAGAAGTCTGAAATGCCAATGGGTTTCATGGTGTGGCCACAAGCTGCAAGGACCGGGTGCACGCACCAGTGCCAAATCCCAGTCCCCAGAAAGCAGCTCGCCTGCCCCTTTCGGCCGCCAGGGGCCCCTACCCGTCCCCGCCCTCACTCTTCTAAGTGCCAGGACGCCACAGACTGGATTGATGCTGAAGACATCCCTTTTCTTTGGTTTTTTTGTTTGTTTTGAGTTTATACAATCATTAAGAAATCTTTGGTTTTGGCTGGAAATTTAAAAAACAAAACAAAACAAAGAAACCACCCTCCCCTGGCTTATAGCAGCAGTATTATGACCTGGCTAAGCTTCTTTTCAACTTTAAGGGTGGGAGTTGAAGGTTGAGAACTACATTCAAAGAAAAGGTCAAAGGGCAGGGATGCAGCTTCTAGGGAGCCCGTTGGATATAAGATTGTCAAATAATATTAATATTAATAATAATAATAAACTTAAATATTTGGATTTTTTTTTCTTTTTGGTCATGCCAAAGGAAAAAAGTGAAATGTATATGCAGCAGTCAGCTTAAAGGAACCTTTGGTGTCTTCCCTTCTACCCCGAATTCTGCAAATACACAGAAGCCTGTGGCCTCCACCCACAGGGAAAAGGACAGAGCCCTGACCCGTGGCCAGCGTCAGACACGGGGGCGGGGGGCAGGGGCAGCCCTGGAAGGCAGCATGGCGGCCAGTGGATGTGAGGAGACCTGTGAAGACCCCTTTGCAACAGAAAGGAACAGAAGATTGCAATTTGCCCTCGGGTTTGGAGTAGCTTTCAAGCAGAGACATTCAGAGGCGTTAGGAGGTCCCACCCTTGGCTACAGGTCTCATGATGCTATAGGCCAGAGTTTAATATTACAGAGAGGAGGGAGGGCAGACTTGGCAACTCTGTAGGGCTGAGAGGAAGTTAAAGCAAGTGACTCAGTCACAAGTTAGAAATGAGGTATACAACAGCTCCTGGACTTTGCGGTGGGCAGGACAACCCACGCTTACTCACCTAGCCCTCGCTGCTACCACAGAGGAGGGGAAGGAGTTCTCCCTGCAGCAAGGCCTCCTGTGGACTGGGTAATGCACACTGCCCATACAAGCAGAGGTAAGCTGCGTCAAGTCTGTTTTTCTTATCAGATCTCAGAGGAGACCAGTTTTTTTCTGTTGTAAAAGTCAGTATTAGAATATGGTTGCAAAGGGTCAAGATTTCTCCTTTTCATTCCTCCAACCAGGCTGGAATGAGACACTCCACTTAGGAGGTACAAACTTCTGCACATCACGCAGGAATGGAACCAAAAACAGCTCTCCCCAGCTCCCTGTGACCCAGGTGTTCCTAACAGACGCTGTCATCTCAGCTTCTGAAAGTGCATTTCATTTCCTCCTCTTTTTCACACCTTGAGACACTGTCAGGGCTGGATGGGAGTTAGCTCTGTCCATTTTCATTCAAAAGAAAACTTTTGAATGAAACTTCGTGCTTACGGAACTAAGTGGTCAGATGCCTCATTTTTTGGGAACAGCACTGTAATCAGCTGTCTGCCTGCAGACTGGGATATAACTCTGGAGAGTTCAATGCCGCTGCCAATTGGTGAAAGAAGCCTTAAGCTGCTTTTACGAGGTTGTGGCCAACTTAAACCATGATGAATAAGTAAACAAAGAAAACATGGGAAAACTTTGCAGCAGACCTCAATATTGTTTTTATAGTAAGTTAGTCTGACAGTGTCCTGGGTTTGAACCAGAAGGTGGCATTGTAGGCAGACTCAGGGACACAGAAAGAATCATAATCCACATCTTCTCTCCCCAGCCCCTGGAAGCTTCACTTCCAGGCTCAAATTCTTGTTCATTACACACACCTGGTTTTCCCATGGCCTCTGTTTCAAGTGCTCTTCTCTTCCCCATCCCTATCGCCTACTTACAAACCTGCCTAATGCTTTGAAGAGTCACACAACATTAGTACTACTTATACAGAATGTCAGAAGGATAAAATTATGAAAGCTTTCATGGAGTTCTGCAACCTAATCATTTTTGATTGACTATTCAGAGAAAAATATATTATTTCCCCTCTCTCCCTCTCTGTCTTATCAGTCTTACATCAAGACAGTGAACTAGTCAATTTCTGAGAGTATGTAATATAAAAACATTTTGGAATAAAACAGTTCTATGGGAGAATAAGGGAAAATCTTTTGGTTTTCCATGCAATCTTGCTCTTGAAAATGCTTCTTCAAGAGACAGAACAGAGATAGCACATCTAGAATATTGTCTGAACTCAAGGAGGCTGTATTGGTTCTATTTATAAGTACTGTATTAGATAAAAAGAAATAAAATAATTCTACCCCCATCTTTTGCACTCCTAAAATTTCTCAATTCCAAGAATATCACTGCTACACTGAACAATTCTACCCATCTTTACAGAGCCAGCAGAGTGAAACAAAATAAATCTCTTTGCCAAAGCCAGATAACCAACAAGATTTCTTTCAAAAAGTAGGGATGGAGCAAAAGGAAAGGTAAAGAAAAGAAACAAGGTAAAGCTTTACCAAATTTCTGCCTTCTGCTCCTATTCCCTCTACCTGTTTTGAAAACGTAAGGATAAAAAATGACATAGCAGTGTCTTTGGCATCCGAACCAAACCCCGTTTAGGTTGTACGCGATGGATCATTCATTAAAAGAAAAAAAAAAAAAAGCCTCTCTGGAGATGTAGTCTATATCGGAACTCTGGGAGCCAAGAAAATCTGTTCCAGAGTGTGGGCAGAGAGGACACTTACTTCTTCCTAAACCAGCATCACTTCTCATTCACACTGCACCTAGAACAACCAGCCAGTCCTCAGAGGCACAGCTTACTGCAGGTGTGAAGTGAGCAGGTTAGCTTTCAAATGCTTGATTTGGTTTTACTTCTATTTGTGTTTTTGGTTTAGGCAGAACAAGTCTTGGTATAAAAAAAGAAGTAAGGTTTTAAATGACAGGCTACTAGCACAACATTCAATAACAGAGGGTGACTAGAAGAACTGGTTTTCACTTGAATTTTCCTAGATTAAGATACAACAGTTACCTCTCCATTTCTCTCCAAATGAGTTGGTGCATGTCTATTTCTGTCTCTACTTTTCATCAGCACACCCAGATATTTACACACTCATCCTTTACCTAAGCTTTTGCTATATACAGAGGTAATGAATCATTAGGAGAGGTTGCAGGTACGGGGAGCATGGGCAGCCATAGGAAGGGTTATAAATGTGCCCCTGGGGACCCTGAACCTATTGGATGCCCTACACGTCACCTGCATGCCACCATACACTGTGCTGGAGATCAGACCATAAAGAAGCCAATAAATCCTAAACTCAATCACAGGGGAATATCAAGTTTCCTTTGGCAAGACAGGTATAAAGAAAAACACACACGAGCAACATTTTCCTTCTAACATAATCACCTTCTTTCTCCCCTACCCTGACCACCCTCTCTAACCCTATAAACTGTAACCTATAAACAGGATCCCGAATACATACAGCATCAATCAGGTTTATCAATCATAATAAATGTTAGTTTAACTAAATACTACAGCTAGAATTATTTCTACTATTTATAAAGTTTTTGATTTATTTATTTGGTTTTTAGTTTAAAACCAGTTCTGCAACAATGCTAAGCTATGCTGAGGTATTTTATGAAGGTGCCAGAAGCTAGCTGTTGTCCACGAATATTATCCTCACAGATTAAGATACCACCATTCAAAGAGAAAACGACAGGACGGAAAAGAGGAAGGGAGATACAGATTACAGAATCAACACAAGAGTCACTTGGATTTACTGCTTTTAGCAAAGGCCAAGGGTAGAAGAACCAACTTAAGGAAACAATTCATGAAAAAGGATGGTTAGAAGACAGCTACAGCTCATAGACCATCCAGAAAACTGGGTGCGAAGTGGACAACTGCTGAGAAATATATTCCCTGCCCTCCTGGTAGGATCCTTTCACGCCTTACTGGAAATTTCATGGTGTCCCATTTCATCTCTTTGCACTAAGAAAAGGATAATAGGATTCGTACAGACTTTTAATGATGAAAGCAATTTATCCTATTTTTCTCCAAGTCTCCGTATTGTAGGTGCTCCCCATGCAAACCTGATCTTATTCTTCTTAGAGGACAGCACAGATTTTTTTCCTTCTCAAAACTGAAGATAAATATGAAGAAAGATTTACTATTTTATAGAGTGTCATCCTCAAAATGTCAGGGACTGCAAATGACTTCAGAACAGCTAGGACTGTGATTATATGAGCAGTGTTACACACTAAATGCTTTACACACACGCACACACACACAAGTGAACTCTTGATGGTTATGAACAAAGTCACCTATCAATTTCTGCCCGCTTGGCTGATTTTAAATTTCAGGTCTTCAGTCTGTTTCGCTTATTAGTATTGGCAGTCTTGCAACATTTTTGGTACTAACAGAGTTTGAAGAATAAAGAAACTTTAAATTCCTCAAGTTGAAATGCTGACATAAGGAGAAAGTATCTGACAAACCCTCCCGAGGGACTGTGGCGGTTATGACTGCAGAGTGGCCTCTAAGCCTCCATGCCATACCCAGCAGCTCCTCTTTCCTGGGGGGAACAAGAAGCTTCTCCTCTGTCTCCCTTGCCCCATGAACGATCTGACATCTGTGAGGATGACACGTCTTGGGAGCAACTGCAGACTATAAACTACAGTTTCTCTGTAAGCCAAATGTTCATTGTACACTAACTACAATGTTTTCTGCAAGATTCCTAATTTTAAAAATGGACACAATTTCCTTATATTTGCAGGCGCATTTAGCTTTTCCAGTAAGTTAAATATAATTTTACAATAAAGATTGGGTTGAATTTACATATTGTGTCAAGCAAGTATCTGTGCTTTCAGGTTATATAGGATATTTTCCCTATCTCCCCAAACACACGAAGGCTAAGACAAAGTAACATTAAAAAGAGGTATAATTGTGCTTTCCCCCATCAAGAACAAATGAATGATGCAGAACAAACTGGCAAGATGAGCTCACTAAAAATCTTTTAATGGGTATTTTCTCTTTTGAAAATATTAATTTCTAATGTTACCATGAAGAATAAATAGGTGTGGTTCTATGCAAAACAAAAATTGAATTCCTTTGGTTCCATTCTTGAGTAACAAGCTGAATAAAATGGGATGGTACTGACCTTTCTCACAATAAATAAAAGGGAGTATATATCACTTAATGGATATAAATAATTCTTTAATTCTAAAAAGCTGCCTACTGAACCTCAGAAACATTTCAACTAATACAGCTTATTTCAATTTATTTCCTTTAAACTCATCTCTTAGAATAATGTTGTTTCTGTGAGAAGCCCTTTTTTATGTTTTTCTGTTCTGTCCTTCAGATTTATAAGGGTCTAAATAAAGTTCATGACCAAACTGCATTGCTTATGACAAGCAGGGTTTACAAGTACATTCACTACTCCCTCAGGAGGGCCCATTGTCATGGGCAAATAGAGTATTACTATAACTGCATTGAAAATTAGTCTTTGGCTTAATATGTGTTAACCAAATTCAGGGAGGAAATAAAACTTGCATAAACACTAGGAGGAAGAAGAGAAGAATGATAACAAGGAACTGTAACAACCTATTTGGCCTTTCTTCCAAATGCAGGAGCTCTACGGAACAACTCTTTTTGGTCAAGTGACCCCTTGAGTTTCCAGACGGCCTTCTAAAAGGTAGCTGAAAGTTAGGTCTGAGTACCTTAGCTTAGGAGATAGTTCATTCAGTTCAAAAAGTATTTCTCAAGATGATATAAAATAAAAAAACGACTAAGGCGTTCATGAAGCAAGTATGATTATCAGAGTATCTACGACGAGTGGTGGGGAGCTGATGAGAAACTAAACACCCACCAGCAAGCTACGTTAGTGTTTCATGTGTACATGTGTGAAAAAGTACCTTCTACTTCATAACTTATTTTTAAATATGTAAAAGAAAAGAAAAAAATTTAAAGTTATCTTTGTTTAAAGATCTAATTGTTCTTTTCAACACAGATTTTTATTCTGGTTTAAGATCTACCCTCATCAAGTGATCCACATAAAAGGCAGAGTCCCCTTAAGAGGGGATTAGAGACTAGATAAGACAGGGTAGGGACTGAAAGAGTACCGTGCTGATGTTTAAAGCTTAATATCTTCTTTAATATTAAAATCTGTTGGTGAGTGTTATTTAGGAGGGTGATCATTAAATCATAGAAAACAAGAACAAAACTGCCTTTGTCTTTCCTCTTAACTCACTGGGCTAGAGTCCCTTGGGACTTCGCACTTCCTTTGGTAGCAATTTGGGGAAATTAGTGCTATAACCTCTAATCCAATATGGTGGGTATCAGCATTTCCCTCCCTGAATCCCTCCTCTTAACTTCCATACTCCCATTGGAGGACTCTTTACTACAGGCAGCTACAGCATTATCCATAGCTCTAAAATCATCCGCACAGATTAAAGTGAGAGATGTCAAGTCATGATAAAAGATTACATTTAACTACAAAAGAGGAAAAGCTGATGGAGAGCAGAGAAATTAGTAACTGACACTGCCATTCTATTTACACACAACCTAAACAAACTAGTTAAAAATCAAGGTAATGTCTGCCCAGAGGATATTACAATTTACCAACACAAAAGATTAAAAACAAGCAGCAACTTTTATATAAAATTAATAAAGACAAATGAAAAAGAAATTGTCAGTAGCATCTATCTCCTCAATGTGTCTGAACTGCACGTTATAAACTAGTCCATTAGTACAGCAGCTTGCTAAAATTTGACTTTGGTTCAAGCTTAGTTTAAAAATAAAAATACACAAAAAAAGCCACACACCACACAAAAACAGGTGGATGGACATTTGTTAGTTTCCCTGCTTGCAGTTCACTGATTTTAGAGGGATTCGAGGGAAAGTAAAGGGTAAGAAGAGGAATTTTGGAGGGGAGGGGGTAATTAAATACTTTGAAAAATAAAACAAAGAGGAACTAAAAAATTTAAAAGGGGACTGCAATGTTTCTGATCTTGAATATTAATGTGACTGTTCCCACTTGAATCACAAAGGTACACATCTGTGTCTGTATCACTGCTTTTCTGAACAGTGGCGAAGAGAGACAAATAAGAAATCTCAGCTCCCTTGTGGCCACAAGCAAAACAATCAGAAGGAAAGTCACCTGTTAGCTCTCTCTCAACCCCCAGCACAAAATGGGGACAAAGTGCAGTCTTGGAACCACCGGAGAGTGAAGCAAGCATCAGACACCAAATAGGAACCTTTAACTCCACTCCGAAGGGGAACGTAGATGAACTGCACTGCAGTGGTCCAGTCTCTTGGGGAAATTTTTGGTATAGATACTATAATACCCTGGCAAAATGGAGAATTTAATCTCTAAATTACCCTCATTCCTCTTTATCCATTTGCACAAGCTCTTTCTTTTCAATGGGCTAATTTATGTAGTCTAGAAACACCTTGAAAACAATGACAGGAGCTAATCACTTTCTACACTGAAGAAAGAGATATGTGTTGTCATTAGACCTACCTAGCAGGAGCGTCTCAGATAAGCCAGGAGACACAGTGTGTGCAAAGTTCCTGCTCAGCCTTTCTGCAAAGGATCTACAGACCCCAATACAGCCTGGCCAATAAGTGCCTCTGTTAGAGAATAGAGGAGAATCTTAGGGTTTGAGTAAGTTATAAGCCACCCAGTGGACGGGAGTCTGAAGCTCTTCAGAAGAAAAGGTGGCAACCTCAGATTCTTCTCAACCTCTTCTGGATATATAACTGATGGGAAATACTCTAGAATTCCTTTAGAAAACAAAAGGGAAATGTTTCCCAATTTCAATAGATCAATTTGTTCTTTGCCAAGTAAGTCAAAGTTTGGATGAAAAACTTCTATAAAATGGAACACACAAACAAATACATCAACAGTAGGAGCATTTTTCAGGAGATAATAAATCAGGAGAACCACCGAGTCAGGTGTCTGCAGTAGTCTTTGCTCTTTGGAACCAAATCCTGCCCTGCAACATGTGCAGCTGTTCCCATTCGAAGTAGCAGAAAGCAGCACTGTTGCACTACAGGACCTGGGCCTCAGGGCCATTCCATGATTTGGGGTGAGTGAGAGCTACAGTTCAGCAGGAATTCCTTCCTACACAAAAGTGCTCCAAAGGCACCACCTGATGGGGGAGGGGCGTGTGTGGAGTGAGAGTGTTTGCACACACTGCCTTCAGCTTCTGCACCAAGCCTCTTGCATAAGTGGCAAAAGAAAATAATTTTCTAGCACCTCTGTAAGAGTCATCAAGGATAAGGAAACCAGCAAGAACATTCCCCGCAGTTAAGAACGTTAAGTCTCCCCTTACCCCCAAACCCACCCTCCCCACAGTGTGGGAGCTCACTGAAATAGGATCCAGGAGCGAGAGATAAACATGTCCAAACTCTCTCTCTATATAAAAACAATAATAACAACAATAATAGAGATACAGTAATACAGGCCTGCCTAAATTGTACCAGTTAAGAAAGGAACCCCCAACACAATTGATACGATTATAAACACCTTGTTATGACTTAATGGCCTGTACAACAGACCCATAAAAATGATTTTTTTTTAAGAAAAAAGAAATTTAGACAAACAAGAAATCCCTTTCCTATATTGGAATTGGTAACCCACCTTGTCATCATGACTGCTGGAAATGATAAGTAGTCCTTTCACTTATTTGTTTTTGATTTTTTTGTTTCTGGTTTTTTTTTTTTTTTTTTAATTTTTGGTTAGAAAGTTCTCCAATCCATGAAGCAATCCTGAAAAGACAGTGTTTTATTATAAAATTAGGCAAATGCTGTCTGTCTCTTTGTTTTTTCTGGTATGTGTATTTTTCTTCTCTCCTTTGTCTCCTTGCCCTCACAACACGGTGAGAAGAAGCCAATCACATTTTTTCAGTTTGCCAAGTGGCTGGCAGCCTGACCCCACTGCAGAGTGATAAAGGCTCGGGGGGCTGGCTCTGTGGCCAGCTCACTGTGCCTTGGAGGCGGTGGTGGTGGTGGATGTGGCCCCGCTGGCAGAGGCCACGGTGAAGAGAGAGTTCTGCATGGACTCTGCGGAGGTGGAGGTGGCATGAAGGCTGGCAACAGGTGCTGAGTTCCCTGTGGAGGCAGCAGCAGCAGAAACCAAGCTAACGGGGTTGCTGGTGAGCAGAGAGAGGTTCTGAGGGTTCAGGAACAGAGGGGCAGTCACGATGTTGGGGGCTCCTCCAGCATTGGCAAACACCAGGTTCCCAGTTGCATCCAGTGACGTTATTGGAAGAGAGCCACCAGAAGCAAGAGCTACAGGTGAGACCCAAGAAAGAGGCAGGAAGGAGAAGGTCAGCACCATCCTGGAGCAGTTAGATAACAAGTCATCAAAGTCCTACCGAGTTTCCTGCAACTCAGTATGAAAAGTGCAGTCCTTTACTATTTTTTCCTCAATTGCAGTGTTATATTTATACCAACTGAGGTTTATTTATAATTTTAAGGACCATAAAGGACAGAAAAATCTAATGAACATGACAAGGATAAGCTAAAGGGAGAGTTACAAGAACTAAGGAACTAGTCAGGTTTCTATCTTTAAATTTCAAGTTTATTTCATTTACCTAGAAATATTTGTTAAATCCAGTAACTGTTTCCAATGAAGATTACTGATTTTAAATTACCTCTGTTCAAAAGACAAACTATAATTAAGTGAATAAAGCATTCAGAGTATATTTTGCTCTTATCAAACCAACTGGCACGGATAAATTTGAGCAAACTCTTGTACACAAGATGAAAATCATATTTCTGAAAGGATTTAGCTATAAATTACAAATCACCAGATAAAGTAAAAGGTATGATTAATTTTTCACTTCAGGAGCAAAACCTTTGACTTCTAGGACTTGTAGAAAGGGGAAAGATAAGTTCATTGTAGGAGAAGATCAGAGACACAATGATGCAGGTGGCCCTCGGTGGGTGATTTAGGCTTAGCCCTCAGTTTCATGGTGGAGAACTTTTCCCTGATGTCATTCATTGCTTTCCCACAGCAGGTATGATTAAAACTTTATTTAAAGTAATCGGTGCTTTTACTCTCTCAAATGTCCCCACTCAACCTCACTCCCACATGCAGAATTGTAGGTTTTTTTGAATGGCATTAAAATCTGGTTGATTTTTTACATAATACCTAGCTGAAGGGAATGCCCCTGATTTTGCATGTCTTCATAGAAACAATACAGACCAACGAGACTTGTATAGGTTGATGTTTTCTGAGATCCCAGGATCAGTGTAAAAGACCAATTTTATACCTTCTCAGACAGTATTCATCTATGATTTGGTTAATCAGAAAGCCAATACAATGTAAGGCAACCTAGGCCATGATTTGATTTTCTCTGTACTTTAACTTCTTTTCTACAGTACACTGTTAGACACACTAATCTCAACTGAAGTTGGCTAACAGATTAGCTTTGGCTCCAAGAACTCTCATTAAGCACAAAATATTTATTTATTTATTTATTTATTTATTTATTTATTTATTTATTGTACCAGGGATTGAACCCAGGTCCCTGTGCTTGCGAGGCAGGCGGTGGAACCACTGAGCTAAATCCCTGGCCACCAAAATATTTTAATTTTAAGAAAAAAATTCTGATTAACAGTGACGTTTCCCTGAACAATTACTTCCCCGAGTTACACAGCAGCAAACATCTTCAGATACAAGCTTAGAAGCTAAACACAGTAATCTCTTCACTGTATGGAATGAATACTATCCTGAATAACATGTGCAAAGGTTGACAGGGACCCAAATGGGCTTGGAAGAGACATTATAATCCAAGAGGAGTCTATGCTCTATAATGATGGTATATAAAAAGGGCGGAGTCTAACAAGAATTAAAGATTCCTAAAAAAAGAACAAAGAAAAAGATTCCTGCAAAACCTGCTTGATGTGCTCTACTGACCAGTCAATATAGGACTTTCCTACCCATGGCGATCTTACAAGGGGGATGGGGACTGGGGATCTTTCTTGGTCAAATCTGACTTGAGAGGTTTTAGATGAGTATGTGGACAATCAGGAGGAAAAAATTCTGCCTCAAAGTCTACTGATGTAAGAAGATAATATCACACAAAGTCCTGGCTTCTTAGAATATGTATTATTTCCTATTTATTTTGCAAACTAATACCTGTACTTTTCTTTTACAAAGTTTTTCTTGTTTTTTTTTTTTAACAAGAACATTTTCTTGGTCTTCAAGAATAAGTTAGCTAAAGTTAGTTAGCATTCAACTCTCTTTTTTTGTTTGTTTTGTTTTTGGTACCAGGGATCGAACCCGGGACCTTGTGCTTGAGGCAGGCGGCAGCACCACTGAGCTAAATCCCCAGCCCAAGCATTCAACTATCTTTCCCCATTACCTTCAGCTCTAGCAAAGCAGGCTTCCTCCACTACACACACACACACGGCAAGCAAAAAGATCCTACTGACCTTGAATAGTTGCCAGTGTACTGTTGCTCATCAGAGCGGGGCTGAGAGCACTGCCCAGGGTCCCTGGATTGAGACTGAGTAAGGCACCTCTGCAAGTTCAAAAGAAGGGTCATGTTACTACCATGAGACACATCTGTCAGTCTGACAACACCCCCAAAGGAAGAAAGAAAAGGAAACTCTAGGGAAATGTAAAGGAAGCACTGGTATTTTCCCTCTACCGTCATATGGTTTGCTTAGTGCTTCCGCATTAGAGCTTCCTGGATGCTTACTTGTACAATGTTATGATCTGCATAAAATGTAAAATTTTTACAGTCATTTTGATTCTTTAACTTACTTCATTCTCTTAAAAAAAAAACAAAAAAAAAACAAAAACAACTCCAGAGACAAAAATAATTCTTATGTGACAGTAACGTAAAATTGGGAATCTCCTTACTACACTTCTTACCGGTGTTTAAGTGTGAAAGCAGACAGTTAAGAGTTTAATGGAGAAAGCATAAGAGTAAGAGTCAGAATTAGGGGCTTTCTCTCTGGTCCCACCACTGAGGTGACTCAGTGACCCGGTGTTGTGTCTTCATGTGGAAATCAGTGTGACTACTGCCCTTCCCAGAGTTCCCAACTTAGGTTCAGCTCTTATGGTCAGGGTCTTTGCATGACCACAGAGCAGCCTGTTTCAAAGAGATTTTTAAAGACATCTTTTCTCATTTTGGATGGTGATGCGTAATTCCAGGGATGACTTCCTCGTTGCTCCTCAGATGTGGAGGAGATGGGAGGGTTCCTTACCCAGCCGCAAACTGTGAGGGCGCCATCAGGCCTGGGCTGAGTCCTGCAGCAGCAGCCATGGCGGCAAGACTGGCATTTGCTGGCAACTGTGCGGCTCCTTGGAGAGCGGCAGCTGCTGCTGTTTGCAAGCCTGATGCTGTCACCATCACCTGGCTGGTCCCAAGAGGGGAGGACAGAGGAGTGGAGGTGGTCTGGGTTGTGCTGGTCTCACTGGCACTGGATGCCTCAGAGGCAGAGGCAGAGGCGGAAGGGGAAGGGCTCAGAGAGGGGCTTGTGACTGCCGAGGAAGCAGGAGGGGCTGTGGAAATCACGGTGGCTGTGTTGTTGGACGTGGTATCTGTAGTGCCTGAAAAGAGAACTGGATTAGAAAATAACCTCTGTAAAAAGTCTTTGAAGAATAGTGGTTTATTCAGCTATATATTTTAGACTCAATGGAATAATTAATACATCATCATCCAGTAATCCTCAATTTGCCCTTTAAAAATCTAATTTAATGTTTGTATGAATCCAACTTTAAGACACAAGAGGAGTAATATAACTATAAAAGAAACAGAACAGTTTTCCAATGCCAACTTCCTATTAAGAAACAAAACAATCAGAGAAGCTCTAATTATGGGACACAAATGCTCTGGTGAAGAAACATAAGCAAAAAAAGAAAACTTTTGTAAAACCTCTTTTCATTTGGCAATCTCCTTGGCAGTCTCCACGGAAAAAATAAAAAGAACAAGAAAAACAGAATTATATGCTTTTCTAAGAATAAATGTCAGTAAGATACAAGAAGTAATTTAAAAATGACTAAAGGTATATGTCTAGATGTATTCTCTGTATTAAAATTCAGCTCTTTTGTAATGAAAATTAGCTCTAAACAGCTTGCTGTGCTAAATATTCTCTTACAGAAACAACCACCTACAAGGGTACTATGAATCTCATAAAAGGTAACAAGTTGCTATGTGAGAGGCCCTTAAAACAAAATCACAGTGTCTCGGATTTCTTTTTGTTTAAAGAACGAATATTTGGATGTAAACATATTCACTGAGATTAGGTTTGAGAACAGCTTTGTCCAACAAAAATAAAATACATGTAATTTTAAATATTCTAATAATTCTATTGGAAATAGTAAAAATAGATGAAATTCCAACAATATACTCATTACCCAATATTACCAAAATATTATCAAGATAAAATCAATACTAAATAAGCATTAATGAGTTATTTTATCTTCTATCTGAGAATGGCACTCATTTTATAATTACGGCACTTGTGAATCTGAACAAGCCATGTTTTAGGTGCTCAAAGACAGGGCCAGGGATTTAGCTCAGTAGCACTGCTCCTGCCTTGCAACTGCAAGGACCTGAGTTTGATCTCTGGTACAAAAAAAAAAAAAAAGCCACCTGTAGCTAGTGGATGTCATATTGAATACCACCGACTTAAAACATCCTAGATACTAGCAAGTTGTATTCTAGAGCCAAGTGTGGTTTAAAGAATACTGCTACTCTGCCCAAAGTAGGAACGGCTCATAGGGTCTCAGAGGAAAGGTTAATAACCTTCCAGAAGATGCCGATGGACCCAGGGAGCTTTCATTCTGATGCTGTTAAGAAAAGCACTGTAGAACAGGTCCTCTTATTTTGGTTGTTAGAATGCTACACAGTATAGAAACAGGCTCTCTAAAGCCAGCCAGAATTTAATTTAGGGAAGCTCAGCATAATTTTAGGATATAATCAATCATATATATGTATAAAGCAGAAATATTTTCTCAGGATGCTTAAAAAGATAAATGTATCTATAAGCTTTCAATATAATAATTCTGTGATATATAAATCACTTCCAATTCTTATAAAATAATCAGACAGATCAAAATACAATATCTCAAATCTATGACACATTGGAAAATACTTATTTAGCTTTTTGTTTTTTTTGTGGCACTTAGGGTTGAACCCAGGCTTTCATACTGAGCTACATCTCTCTCCCTTTTTTGAGACAGGGTCTCACTAAATCACTGAGTTGCACAAGCTAATTTTGAACTTGCAATTCTCCTGCTTCAGCCTCCCAGCATCTCTGATTAGAGGTATGCACTCCCATGCATGGTTAAAATATTTTTTAATGGTAAAATCTACCACTAAGCTGCAGAAAACTGCTTTTGTCACTGCCTTTTGATAAATTCTGGTAGTTTTCTTTCTAAAATTTATTTTGAAGTCATCTTCTGGTCTCTACTAAGAACATCTAGAATTCAAGTCTCCTCTTACTTCTATTCTTCAACTTAGATGCTCCCTGTATTAACAATAATTCTGAGTTCTTCCAATGTCACTCAAAAGTGCCTATGCGGTATCTCACTGAATGAGAGAAGCACATCTTTCTTATTGTCAAGTGAAAAGGGAGGACTTACTCCATTTTTTGCCCTTCTGAAAACATAAACAAAATTTCTTCTCACTGCAGCTGCCCCAAAGTACAATCATATCTTTGGATATTGTTAATACCATTTTCATTCATTTTTTCTGTTCTCAATCAGAACAATCATTGCCATTGGGCACCTGAGGCTGCAGTGGCTCTTGTCCGGCAGACTTTTATATACACATTTATCTTAAGACCTGGCCCTTGTTCTGTAGGAAGATAAGTGTCTTTTCTTATTACTCTCCTATTGCTAAGAAATTTCAATGTACTTCCAATCTTTTCTTGACCAATTTCTCACCTTACCTAATTTTACCTGTATAAGTGCTAGTCTCCTTTCCAAGTTCTGAAATGGCCCATTTTCATAAGACCTCATATCTCGGGGGCTAAAAGCTTAAAATGGTTTTCTTTCCTCTCTAGTGCCACTTTCAAATCATTCAGCGTCTGTTCCTTCAAGTCCTGCAGAAGTTTGTAAATCTTATCTGTGAATTCAACCTGGGCTTGGAGGTGACGGTTCCAGAAACAGTTTAAGGTTGCTTTTTTCTCATTATAACACTCTAACCACATTCTAGGTGTCCCCTATATGAATGTCACATGAGCACTATGTATAACAATTCTAGATGTTTAAATCAATTCTCCCAGCCAGTGACTGACTGACCCATCCATCCATCATGACCCTAAATTCTTGGCAACTTAATTCCTTAGGCAACTTTGATCAGAGAACTTGGGCTTGCTGGGACTCAATGTCCTTAACAACGAAGTAAGATGCCATACCACTCAGGTTACAAGTTAGGAGGAAGTTAGAGCTAAGCATAGGTGAGTGTCTAGTAACTTCTCTTGCTTCCCACCCTATCTTTTTATAGTAGCTTTATTGAGATACCATTTATGTGACATAAAATACATCCAATTTAAGTGTAAAATTCAATGATTTTCAATCAATTTGGAGAGTTGTAGAAGCATACCAAGCCAGATTGCATTCCCACCACCAAAAGCTTCCTTGTGCCTGTTTGCCATAACTTGCCACTCCACTCATCTGCTTTTTGTCTATACATTTGACTTTCCTTTTTTCTTTTTAAACTGGGTACTGGGGGATTGAACCCAGGGCCTTCGGACTGAGCTCCATCCCCAGCCTGTCTGCCTGCCTTTCTCCCTTTTTCCCTCTTTATCCCTTGCTCCTCCCTTCATTTCTTTTTAAATTTTGAAACAAGGTCTCCCCTAAATTGCCCAGACTGGGCTTGAACTTGTGATCCTCTTGCCTCAGTCTCCAAGAATGCTGAGATCACAGGGGTAATCTGGTTAGATTTAATATAAATGGAACTATATAACATGTGGTCTTTTGCACCTGGCTTCTTTTACTTGGCATATTATTTCCAAGGTTTATCCATGTTGAAACAGAAATCAACACTCCAGTACTTTTTATTAGGCTGAATAATACCACATTTCATTCATTCTCCAAATGATGAGCATTGGCTTGTTTATACGTTTTTGCCTGTTACAAATAATGCTGCTTATATGAAGATCCATGTAAAAATTTTTGTGTGAATGCTTTCACTTGGGGCAAACTACTTGATAGGATGGTAAATTTACGTTTAATTTGTAAATAAACTTCCAAAGTTTTTTCCAAAGTGGTTAATATCATTTACATTCTAACAAATGATGTAATGTTAATTCCAGTTTCTCCACATCCTCCCCAACACTTTTTTGGTCTTTTTGATTATAGCCATTCAAGTGAATAAAAGTGGTATCTCCTTGTAGTTTTACTTTGAATTTCTCTAGCAAGTAATTATGTTGGATATCCTTTCATGTGCTTATTAGTCACTCATAGATTCTTGGCCTTTTGGGTAAGATCAAGTGAAGTCATGCATGTATTTTCTTTGGTAAAATGTGTATTAGTCTTTTGTTCTTTTAAAAAATGGAGGTGTCTATATTTTTACTATTGAGTTGTACACAATTCTTTATGCATGCTATATAGAATTCTTTTATCAGATACATGATCTGCAAATGTTTTCTCTAGTCTTTGGCTTGTGTTTTTATCTTAAAGGTTGTTATGTGGCAAAAAGATTTTCTTTTTGATGCTCAATTTATTTTTGTATTTTTATGGATTGTGCTTCCAGTGGAGCATCTATGTGAATGCTGCCTATTCTAAGGTCATGAAGATTTTTTCTCCTTAAAGTTTATAGTTTTTAGCTCTTACTTAAGCCTTTGATCCACTCTAGTTAATTTTGTGCATGGTATGAGGTTAGGATCTAAACTGATCTTTGTGCATATAATTGGACTAGAACTGTTTGTTGACTCTTTTTCCCTACTGAACTGTCTTACATATTTGCTCAACAAAACATAAATTTAAAGGTTGGTTTGTGGACTTTCACTTTTGTTCCATTTATTCTATCGTTATGCCTACATTACACTTTTTTTGACTATTATACCTTTATAGTAAGATTTGAAATATGGACATATTTGTCCTATAATTTCATTATTTTTCAAAATTATTTTGGCTATACTGGATCCCTTTTATATATTTTAGAATGATTTATCAATTTCTTCAAACAGAACAGTCTGTTGGAACTGTGATGCTGACTGTGGTCTATAAATCAAGTGGGAGTAAGCTGTCATCTGAGAATGCCAAGTCCGGAGGGAAAGTAAAAAGGATCATGACATGGTGTGTGTGTGTGTGTACCAATATTCCAGGTTAGTATCATTATGTATTGCAGACATATATTAAAACATTTAAAGAAAAAGAATGCTGAGTCTCCCAAACCGCCAACTGGAATATGAAATGTCTCAGTTTAGACTTTCAGCAAATTGTAATTTTCACTATATAAGTATTTACTTCCTTTGTTAAATTTATTTCTAAATATTTTATTCTTTCAAATTTATCATGTATAAATTATCTTCATAACTTCATTTGTGGACTATCCAAAACTTAATTTAGTGATTAATTCTTGTAGTTTTTTTGTGGATTCCTTGGGATTTTTATACCCACAGGATAATGCAAATAAAGGCAGTTTAACTTTTGTTCTCCTTTAAACTGGCAACTGCGTCCAGTATAATATTAAATAGAAATCTGCAAGAGCAGCCATCCTTGCTTTGTTCCCCAATCTTGGAGGCAAGAGCAGGGGAGGGAAGAGCTCTCAGTCCTTCACTACCTAATGTGCTGTTGGCTCCAGGTCGGACAGTCTTACCCTCTCTGGATTTTGTATTTTGTCAAATATCTTTTCTCTATCTATTGAGACGATCATGTGGCTCTTGTCCTTTTCTTCTGTTACCATAGTATTTTAATTGGTGCTCAGATATCATGCCAACTGTACATTTTTGGAATAGATTACTCTTTTTTTCATATATTGCCAAGTATGATTTGCTCAGATTTTGCTGAGGGTTTTTGTACATATTTTCATGAAGGATATGAGTCTATAACTTTTTTCTTGTGATACATTTATCTAGTTTTGGTATCAGGCTAACACTGGCCTTGTAAAAATGAAACCAAACGAAATCAAATGAAATCAAACAAAGCCAAGCCAAGCCAATCTCTCTTCCTCTATTATCCAGAAGACAGTGTTAAGATGGATGCCAATGTGAACTTGAAAAGAATGTTTTCACATTTATAGAGATTAAATCAAGTTGGTAGATAGTGTTGATAAAACCATTTTTTAAAGACATGGTCTTGCTATGTGTTCAGGCTGGCCTTGAACTCACTGTGTAGTCCATGCTGGTCTCGAACTCACGGCAATCTTCCTGCCTCAGCCTCCCGAGTGCTGGGATTACAGGCATGCACCATCATGCTTGACAATAAAATCTTATATATCTTTGACAACAATTAGGTATATAGTTCAAATTAATAATTGAAAATAGGTTATTAATGTCTTCAACTATCATTTTGAATTATCTAATTCTTCTTTTAATTCTGTTCACTTTTGCTTTCTGTATCTTGGGTTTTTGCTGTTAGGTAACTAAAGGATTACTACTGCTCCATTTTTCTATGGAATAAACTTATTATTAGGAAACATATTTCAGAGAAAGAACTGGAGGCAGAGTGCATTTAGCTGAGATTATTAAGAGACACGGAATTTTTGCAAGGTTCTGAGATACATCAGACACATACATATCTTTCTAGAAGTCATGATCATTCTTTTTATCTATTCTAGAAGTGTTTACCAAGGACTTTTGATGTGCCAAGTGCTATGGAAAATAAAGATGGCTATATTAAGATTTTTCTTAAAAAGACAGTAGACTGAGTATATGGTTTTTCCCTTTATTTCTAAAATCTAATTCCAAATGATAATAAACAAAAGAAGGAATAAGAGTTCTGGGGATAGATTTCAGACATAAGGGTTCTACTAGAAACTGTATGTCTATTTTATGGAAGGGAAAAGTCTGCAGTTTTCAGACTTTCAAAGATGCTTAACACTTAAAAGAGGTCAATAAGTGCTGTTTAAAATAAACAAAAAATATGAAATTTTCTAGTAACTTAGAAATGTAATACAATATAAAGCTATTTACTGAATTTTTACATCATGCTTAGAGTTGAAGAGTTGTTATGAAATTAACTACAAGTAAAGAACATCAAAGTCACCAGTTCTAGGTTAAATCAAATTTGATTTTGAAATATCACACAGCCACCCAATATCTTACAAGCATATAATTAACCTCATGAATTAAATTATAGCACATCATATTATACATTATGAATAACTAAAAACATTTGATGACAAGGCTAAATCGTATTTTTTTGGTACTGGGGATCAAACTGGGGACCTTGTGCTTGCTAGGCAGGTGGCGGACCCACTGAGCTAAATCCCCAGCCATAGATCATCTTAAATGTATTGGGAAATTTGCTATTTAAAGGGGGCCAATGGGGAAAAAATTACTTATTCAATAATTATTCACTGTACAGTGTGTCAGGCACTATTCTAGGCATCAAAAAGAACATAGTATGTAGATCTTTTGAGAAGTACAAAGGCCCTTGGGAAAGTCAGATTTGTGAAAATATAATTATAATACAGGTAGGTAGAAATGAATAACTTTCTGGGGAAGCTAAAAAAGGTTTCCAAAAGGAATCGATATACATGCTGAAGTAGTTTATCAACATCAGACCAAGAACTGCAGGCCACAATGGATGACATTTCAAGCTGTAGGAAGGGTTACAAAGGCATGGACAGAGCCTTCTATGGGTAGAGGGGATAGTGAGCAAAGGACATAAACTTTGAGTTGATAAAACCTGATGATTTCCTGAGTGGAAAAAGCCACAGCTACTGAAATTTGTAAGGAAAGGAGTTACTTAAAAATTTGTGCATTTGAAAGATATCTGTATGAACAATATAGGAGGTATACTAATATGGGAAAGTACCAAAGAGGTAAGAAGGTGGTAGACACCTACAATCCTAGCAGTTGGGAGGCTGAGGCAAGAGGATCCTGAGTTTCAGGTCATCTTGGGAAACTCAGTGACTTGATCTCAAAAAATGAGATTGAGGTACAGATGGAGATAGAGATAGAGAATATTCTTGGGTGAAGGCATTTTTTCTGACAAAATTAATCATGCCTGATATGTAACAAAAAAACCACACACACACATCTTTAGTTAGAGCTTCTAAGTCACAATTTAATGGCAGATTCACATTGAAACTTCAGGGCCTTACCATGTACTTAAGAGCCACATGCCCTCGGCCTGCTCACCTGTAACAGAGAGATTAGTCACCGCAGCACTGGTTAGGGGGAGGACCGGGTTGACTGTGAGGGTAGCTGCTGTACTGCTTGTCACAAGGCTTGGCGTGGTTGCCACCTAGAGGTCAGACATGAGAACATGCACAAAACCCTTAAAATCAAAACTTGAAACATCCGTAGGCATCGATAACGGCAAGGCAGAAGTACTCTATGTCAGCAAGAGTGTGTATACTAATTATCAACTTTACTAAACAAGAAAACTATCTGACAGGATCCAGGCATAGTGGTGGTGGTATTTTATGTTGCTTTTTACTTTTTACTCTGTGGGGGCAAGACTGACTTGTTTTTTTGTTTTTAATAAAATGGTATTACAAGGAGATTGCAAAGCAAATTTTTTAAAAAGTCAAATTTCTTTTTGAAATAAAAAATTTGTTCAGTTTTATAAGAAATACTGCTTTTTTTCCCTAGTACAAATAAATCTGAAACACAAAAGTCACACACAAGAAACTATTATCTAGTAATGAACTTAATGATTGAAGCTCCACCATTTAACCACAGCCTTCATCTGACCAATATGTACTTTTTTTTTTCCAATAGGTACTTTTAATGTTGACTGTAGCTTTAAGAGTCTTTAATGGAATGATGTTCAAAATGAAATAAAGACAAATTAACAAAAAAGGAACCGAAATGAAAACCTGCCATCTCTTGAAACTTGGTCGGTGCAACAATCACCCTAAAAATCAAGGGGGTCACTCAGCATCCCTGCCTGTTACTCAGCCAGGATACGCATATATGAAAAGGACCGCTATTGCCCAGCATGAGGATCTGAGAGGATCATTTTCATATAATTAGAGCTAAAGGTTCTCTGAGAATTAACTGTCACTTAATATCATTTAATAAATAAGGCTTTAGGCCTTGAGAAGAGTAAAGAGTCACTAAGGTTTTTTTGTTTTTGACTTACTATCAGTGTTACTAAAGAACTTAATAAACTACACCAGAGAATAGAATGATGGGAAATACAATAAAACAAGAAAGAGTTAAAGTTGCTCACTTTAAATTTATTCACTATGAATGCTGTATATGTTTGATAAATTCTTGATAGGCCACTTGTAAAATTGTAACCCATTAGCCTGAGATCTTCCATTCTTACCAGTGAGGTTGGGCTGGGGAAAATCGCTTTGATAGGTGAGCTGCTGGTCCCACCACTGCTTGGTGGGTTGATTCTTTTTTCCTTCTGGCGTCGGTTACAAAACCAAACACGAATCACCTCTTTCTCCATATTGAGCTGTTCAGCAATCAAGGTGATCTCTTCTGAGGTAGGCTTTTGATTCTAAAGGGGAAAAAAATCCAATCTTTTGTAATAACTTTTTGAACAACCGATATAAAAGCAGACGAGTCAGAAAATAAAGCTGGGATATATATGACCATGTTAGGCCACTTTCAACAAATAGCTTCTGTAGATGGTCACTCTAATGAACAGTGTTGCATTTAATAAATTTACTCACATTAACTTAGAATAAATTATTCTTTTTTTTTGGTACTTGAGATTGAACTCAGGTCCTTCCGCTTGCGAGGCAGGCACCAGAACCACTGAGCTAAATCCCCGGCCCTTATTCTTGAAAATTTTAGATTTTCAGGTCTTAATACGGAACAAAATTAATAAAATACCTATGTAATCTTATATATTAGCAGGGCTTCTGGAGTTTTCTCCAGGCAAGACAGGAATCTCACAGACATATTGGGGACCTCAGTTTAAAGAAACTGAGTGACTCACCGCCCCCACAGTTAAGGAGAGGCAGAGCCGAGGAAGACTACTGATTAGCCGGTGATCCTGCTAGTACACTCAAGCCTTTTCTGCATTACACAAGTCAAAATTTTGTTGGAAGCTTTGATTTTGACATCCCCTGGTTTAAAACAACTGCTAAATATGTGCTGAACTAACTGGGACTCCACAGCCTGACAATTAAGGCATCAACTGTTCTGGTCCCAAGCTATTGTTCTAGGTACACAGATACCACAATTTGGCCAACAAGGCTACTAGTGTTTCAACTAGCACAGCTCATGGTTTCCCCTGACGGCCTCTGACAGGGAATTCCTCTGCTTGAAGTGCTTTTCTCTCAACTTTTCCAGCCTGTATAATTAATTTCTATCTAGATGTCATATGGACACTGCAAACTCTTTCACAGCAAATGCTTGTGTGGATGCAACCAAGGTCTACCCCAAGCCCTGTAGCTCTGTCTCCTCTGTCAGTAACTTACTGTCATATTTTCTCCATTATGTTCAAGTGTTCATAAAGGCAGAGGCTGATAGGTTCATCTTTTATCATCCACAGTTCCCAAAACTAGTAGCACAGACAATCAATCCTATGCACACGCTAGGTAAACACCTCACTAACCTCCAAGAAACTCTTCTCTAAGGCTGCACGGATGTTGGTCTCTATGCTGGTGCGTTTCTTCCTTCTACGATTCAAACCCTCCACTCCTTGCCCTGGAGAATTCAGGGCACTTGGGCTGGAGACAGAAGAATCAGATGAGAGGTTCTCTGTAGGAATGAAGAAAAAAAAAGCTGATTCATGTATGCAAAATATATTAAAACCAGCAATAAAACTGACAAACTATTTAAGCTATATACAAATGTGAAAAGATTTTCACATAATCTACCTAAAAACATTATTCACTATTGTGGGGGTTCTACTGTCCTTACTGGCATTCTCTGTCCTGGGATGGATGACTATATACATTGTCACCACTACTTTTTGATTTCTGTTTTTGAGAATATTCTTAGGCTTAGACTGGAATCTCTCTCTCAGTTATTTTTATGTTTTGTTTTTATGAGCTCTCAGAATAAAAGGAAAAAAGCTCTGAAATTATTAAATATTTAATATTTGATCTTAGAAGTGATCTCTCATTTCATTAGTGTAAGTGGGGAAAAAGAAATATACTTCTAAATTCCTTAAAGTTAAAAATCATGTTCTTTCATTTAATAGCTTACAAACCCTAGGTATGTCACACACACTTCCGAGTTTCTCTCTAGTGCATGTAAAATCAGATGGAGTGTAACCAGTTTCTTACCATGGAACACAGAAGACTACAGATGGCTAGGTGACACCCCCAGCTACTGAACCAACATCCAGCAGGGTGGGTGTTTCAAGTTTCTCTTTATCTAAATCTACACATCTAAAATAAGAACCATAGTCTTAGAGCACCTTTGTGGTTCCCTTTAGTTCTCACAGTCTATGATTCTGAGGCTCAAAATTCAAAATTTCCAAAAGGAAATCTTTTTTGTTTTTTTTGGTACCGGGGATCAAACTCGGGTCCTTGTGCTTTCGAGACAGGCAGCGGCACCACTGAGCTAAATCCCCAGCCCCCAGAAGGAAATCTTGACACAAAATAAGAATAGACATCCAAGTTTTTGTATGAAATATATAGCCTTTTAAGAACAAAAGCATAAATATTATCAGGAACAAGTTCCATGATAATTCATTAAGGAAGAAATAACAAATTCACTGTTCAAGTTTATCTAAATACATAGGCCTTCTTATCCTCTTCCTCAGCTGTGTGAGTGTACTGAATCCTGGCTCAAATACAAGAAATTTTCCAAGCTGGAAATTATTGCTGATTATTCACACTGTAATTACTAGAATATTTAAATGAGTCAGCTTTCTTATTTAGTCATAATTTGTAATGATCATCCCAAGATTAGTAAGCTTCAAAATTCTTTACGTACCAATAATTCAATAAGAAACAGAAACCCCAGTTCCTGCAACAGTCGCCTCTCAAAATTCCAACAAGCAGTGGAGAATTTCTTATATAGTCACTTACCTGCATCATTTAGCCACTTCTCTAAAAGTGGCTTTAACTTGCACATGTTCTTAAAGCTGAGGTTCAAGGCTTCAAAGCGAGAGATGGTAGTTTGGCTGAAGTCGTTTCCATATAGTTTACCCATAGCGAGCCCAACATCACCCTGTACAGTTCAGAGCAGGAAAGGGGGAATGGAAAAGAGAGATACATCTCACTAATGTTTACAGCTTCTACTGTAGAGGGCTATTCCAATAACTGCTCTAGATGAAGAACCTAGTATACAAGCATTCTTTACTGGTCCCACCTAAACTCTGTCCCTAAGCTGAGCATAATACTCCAGGAAGAAATCTGTAGGGTCTTAATCAGGACAGCATTCAACACTGACCCAGATACTTTCCATTTTGAATCTCTTTTTGCTATGTTACATAATAATCAGGATACCAAAACTTTTTTCATTAAGTTTATCGGTACATTTTAGGTATACAATACAGTTACATTCATCATTGGGGTCTTGTACCTTTACATGATGTATCTTGGTTCTTATTTTTTTCCCATTCCCCTAACCTCCCTTCACCCCCTCCACCCTTCCCTATTTACCAAGACTTTGTTTCCATTTTTTCCCTTTTCTCGTATTTTTTCTTTTCCCTTCTTTTCTTTCCCTTACCCCTCCCACTTCCCCTACTCCTTTAGGCCTTTTCTTATTTCACAATATCAATTATATATTTTGATCCTTATTTACACTTTTAGTTTTTCACACCAGAGAAACTATGTGGTATTTACACGTGTGTCCCATTTATTTCACTTAAAGAGTATGGCCTCAATGTACATCCACTTAGCCATAAATGTCTCTAGTTTCTCATTCTTTATGGCTGAGTAGTACTCCATTTTATAGAAAAACCACATCTTCTTTATCCAATCTCCAGTTGATGGGCATTTGGGCTGTTTCCAAGTTTTAGCTATTATAAACTGTGCCGCTATAAACATGGGTGAGCATATATCACTGTAGTATGATTCCTTTAATTCTTTTGGGAAGATACCCAGCAGGGGAATAGCTGGGTCAAATGGGACTTCCAGTCCTCGTTGTTTGAGGTATCTCCATACTGACTGATTTCCACAGTGGATGCACCAGTCTGCACTCCCACCAACAATGGAGAAGGGTTCCTTTCTCCCTGCAACCCCGCCAGCATTTGTTATTGGTTGATTTCTTGATAGCAGCCATTCTTTCTGGGGTGAGGTGGAATCTCAGCATTGTTTTCAATGGCATCTCTCGAATGACCAGTGATGTTGAACAGTTTTTCATATGTTTATTTGCTGCTTTTACTTCTTTGTCTGAGAAATGTCGGTTCATTTCAGATGCCCATTTTTGAATTAGGTCTTTATATTTGGGGGGTCTGATTTTTTTTTTGAGTCCTTTATATATTCTAGATCGTAGGCCTTTGTCTGAGGAAAAGCTGGTAAAAATTTTTTCCTACATTGTAGGTTGTCTCTTAGATCTGTTGGTGGTTTCTCCTGCAGTGCAGAAGCTTTTTAATAAGATGAGATTGCAGTTGTTTACTCTTTGTGCTAGTTCCCATGATACTGAGGATTTCTTCATAAAGCTTTTTCCTATGTCAATGTCTTCAAGAGTTCTACCTAACATATCTTCCAGCAAGTTTAGTGTTTCTGTTTTAATATTTAGATCTTCAATCCACTTTTAGTTTAGTGCATGGTGAAAGACAGGGGTCTAGTTTTAATCTTTGGCAAGTTGAAATCCAGTTTTTCCAACACCATTTATTAAAGAGGCTATCCTCCAGTGAAGGATACCAAAACTTCTATTCAGTCTCAAAAGATAGTGTTGATTCCAACAGGACCCTTAACTCATGTACCCAACGTGGTTTTAGTAATCTTTGAAAATCAATTTCTCTGTATCACGGGAATTAGATGTAACTGTCTAGATAATCCTAGGAATTTCTGAGCTAACCAAGCTTCCTATATATCACTTAAAAATTTAGAAATGATCCCTCATTCTTTTTATTTTTCTTTCCTATAAAGTATTTCTGGAAGCAGTGAAAAAAATCTATTTTCACCCTTAGTTTGGATTTCAAAGTTGGTGACAAAAAAACAGGTATTCAAAAGACCACTTTTGTCACCATTATAGAGACAGAAACTCACAGTAGAGAGGTTTGACCCATTTAGTAAAACTGTCAAGAGCTCTGGAAACTTGGTCACCTCATAGCAATAGAACAATGATCCCCTGAATATATTACAATAGATGTCTTCCAAATGAGCCTATAACCTTTGAAATGTATACAGTGCTTTTCTTCCAGTTGGATCCTTTTATTTAAGCTGGAAAAAGCTGTGTCTTCATAGTTATTTTATAGACAGATAATAGAAGCTCATGGAATTTAAATGATTCATCCACTCATTTCAATTAGTTTAGTGACAGGTCAAAGAGGCAACAGCATTTCTGGCCCTCTATACCACACAGCTCATCTACGAAGACAGCCAACTCTCAGCCATTCTGCCAACTCTTTTTTCTTTTTTGCCAATTCTTATTTTGAATCGGGACTGTCCTAGTCTTTTGACACCCTACTCCACACATATTTTGGATGCTGCATTGTTTATTAGCACATGTATTAGGTAGTAGAGGAAATGAAATAGTATTTTTAAAACTCCACTTTCTTACTGTTGAACAATTTCTGATAGTATGTTTACAGCTTAAAAGTTTAAAAGAGGATAAATGTGGAACCATACGATACAATGAGGCACAGAAAACACTTGACCTTCATGTGATCTATGTGATCCTATGCCTCCCCTATAATAGCCACTAGCCATGTGGTGATTTAAATTTTAATTTAAATCAAATAAATCAAAAATCCAGTTTCCCTGCAGCACTAGCCCTGTAAGTGCTCAGCAGCCACTAGTGGTTGGTAGCTCCCATACTGGACAGCACAATATAGAACATCCCCAGCATTGGCAGCACTGAGCAGACTGTCCAGCTAGAATGGAAATGGGCTGTTTACTGATTTTCTTCAAATTACAGTAAAACTCAAAGAAGCAGGCGAGTGCGACCAGGCCATTTTGCTATCCACTGTATCATTACACAAATACACCTAAAGATACAGATACATGTGTTTATCTTTCAAAGAATGTTCACTCAGCAACTACTGTGTGTCAGGCACTGAATTTAGGGTTTATGGATCACATCCATTCATGTCCCAGTCACTTCATCTGTTTACAGCTTTCTGGAAAACAGGCCAACTAAAAACCTGCAATTTTTGAGTATAAGACACCCAGTAGCAGTTGGACGGCGATAAATGTTTTCTGACACTGTAATTGCATGATTCACTAAGAAATTTTCACAAATGTCTGTATCTTATTATGAAAAGTAACAATTTTGATAAGAAGAAAATATACCTATTCAAAAATCAGATCATAGTAAGTATAAGCAAAAATCTTCTAAGTTAGTAGCTGGAAATAAAGCTATGCTATCAACTAACTAGAACCATAGTATAAATGACAAATTCATTTACTTGAGATATGTAATATAAGTTCTAGATTGTTTAATGGCATAAAAAGCAACATCCTTCAGTTACTATATTCATATTCATTAATTTGGGATATGCTTGGTTTAGTGCTCTTGTAACTCTTAGATTTTTCCCTATAAAAGTTAAATATAAGCAGTTAATTCATATATAATCTGAAGTACATTACATATATATTTTTGCTATTTTTAAAAAGAGTAAAAAGAATAAAGGAGCCAAGACTAGGAATGGGAAATAATGAATGTCACAAATTTGATAAATGTTATACACTATAATATTCTAATTATGTAATGACATTTGTAGTAATCCTTTAATAAGAAATTATGTAATTAGAAGATAACTTTAAAACTTCTAATAACATGTATATTTACTAAGAGAATAGAGATTTGTTTCAACAAATAAGCTGAATGTTTAATTTTCCTTTTGGACATAAGCTATAAATATGAATATATTTTCTGGACTCAAAGCCACCTTTGAATAACTACAATTAAGGTAGTGAACTAAAATCAAAGGCTGATAAGCAGATTTCCCATCCTGCGCCAGTAGTATGTGCTTTAAGTTATGTAGTCACGGTTTACGAACCACTGCCACTGCTGTGTCAAAGTCATTTTGAAAATTAAGGAGTGGTCGGTCCCAGGAAGAATGACTACCACAAAGAAATAAACCAATAACATATGTTGGTGGGGCTGTGGGGGAAAAGGAACCATTCTCTACTGTTGGTGGGAGTGCAGACTGGTGCAACCACTGAGGAAATCAGTGTGGAGATTTCTCAAAAAACTAAAACTGGAGGTTCCATTTTAACCAGCTATTCCCTTTCTTGGTATCTTCCTGAAAGAATTAAAAGCATCATACCATGGTGACATATACACACCCATGATTACAGCGGCACAGTTTGTAATACTTAAATCTTTTAAACAGCCCACATGTTCATCAACCAATGAATGGACCAAGAAGAAGTGTATTTTCTTAATACAATGGAGTACTACTCTGCCATAAAGATAAACTTAAGACATTTCTAGCTAAATGGATACAGCCTGCAACCATACTCTTAAGTGAAATAAATCAGACACACATGTTTAAATACTGCATCGTTTCTCCAGAGAGAGAAACTGAAAGTGTAAATATGGATCAAAATGTATAACAGAGAGAGGGAAATGGGAAGAAAATGTTCAAATGAGAAGGAGAACAAGGGAGGGGGGAAGAGGAAAGGAAGGAAGGGACAAGAAAAAAAAGAAGGAAAAAAATGGAAAAAAAGCTTTTGTAAATAAGGTGGGGAAGAGGGGTTGAAGGGAAGGGAGGGGAATGGGAAAAAAAGAAGCAAGATATATCATGTACAGGTACAAATTCCCTATGATGAATGTGATCATTATCTATATCAAAAATGTATCTAAATATATCAAAAAAGCCCCCCCACCAAAAAAACCAAAAAAATTTCTTGTGGGCTTCCACAAGATGTAGACAACATACAAGGACACACACACCATGAGGAGCATGCTATTCAAGGTATCCCACCCTGTGCCTCCCAGACACAGCACATACTTTTATTTTTGCTTGTATCCTTTCCTTTCTTGTGTGGCTCAGGTTTGCTCCACAAAGCCAGTTTCTCCCTTACCTCTCCTCCCCTTATTTTTCAAATAAACATCTGCCACCATTAAAAAAAAAAAAATTAAGGAGTGGTCGCACCAAAAAATAGGATAGAGACAAGTACGATATGCACGCCTATAATCCTGGCAGTCTGGGAGGCTGAAGCAGAAGAGTCACAAGTTTGAGTCTAGCCCGGGCAACTCAGTGACTTGGCAAGACCTTGTATCAAAGTAAGTAAAATTTAAAAAGAGTTCTGGATATAGCTCAGTGTGAGGGTCCTAGGTTCAATCTTTAGTGTTGAAGTGTGGGGGGGTACATAAAACCATAAAGCAAATCACAAAATCACCTTAATGTGAAAAGACAGACAGAGAGAAAAAAAGAGATAGAGGCACACATACTACTGGCAATATATTGAATCAAATTCCACAGAAAGGCAAACCACTATTTGAGTGAAAGCTAGTGATTTGTTTTTTGTACTGGGGATTGAACTTGGGACCTTGTGCTTGTGAGGCAGGTAACAGCACAACTGAGCTAAATCCCCAGCTCAAAAACTAGTGATTTAAAAAAGGCTTCATATGCTTAATGTGTCACTTGGGCAACAACTTCCCATGTAACCCAAACATATGTTGTGCTAATAACCTAAATCTGAGGCACTGATAAATATGCCAGCTTTATACTTCCCTATCAATCTAGTTTTATCTTTAGATTTATTTTAAAAAGTCAGATCACTTAAATGCTTCAAAAGTAGCAAATGGTTGTGAATTGTAATTTAGTTCTCCATACCTGAAACTACTAAACAATGTAACTGCATTTCACTTAAAATAACATCTTTTAAAAAAATTGTTATGCTCCTAATATGCTTCTTTGAACAAAAATGAATTCCTGATGAAATTGTAAGAAATACAGATCTGTTCCTAAAAACATCTAGAATATAGGCAGAGATGCTGTCTTGATGTTTTTATCTACCAGATAAATGGTATATTATTTACTTTCAATAAAATAATTTGGATAGTATTTAACTGGTGGGTTAAATTCCAAATAGTAACTATATTCTCTGAAAAGAAAATATCAAGTTTTTTCTTGATTCCATAAAAATACCCAATCCAATCCATACTTCAGGATTTTTTTTCTTTCATCTAATAATCTTATGACATTTTACTTAAATGTCATTCATTTTAATTCCTTTCCTGGTTTAAAAGTATTATTTGTGACTGGTTAATCAAGGAATAAGTCAGTAACAGTGCTTAGAATTAAAATGCTGCGTACCCAGATGCCTGTTTAAAGCATTAAAGCATATTCATTCCACTTTAAAAGTCTAGCTGACAGTAGAAAAATTAATTTGGATTTTGATTCATTTGGATTTTTCATCTTCAATAGATCTTATCTGATTAGTTTCTGCATAGGCTGGGAGGAGGGGAGAGAGAGACAGAGACAGAGTCTACCACTACCCTCTCTCCCCTAAAAAAACTATTTTTAAATAAGCCTTTCAAACTTACCCCTTTCAATTACTGTAAAAGACTCTGAGATCTTTACTCTCTTAGTCTTAGATATGTAGCAGCAATTTTTCTCAAATAACAAAACCCAGTCACATCATTCCCCAACATAACATCTTTTAAACTTTCACATATAATTATGATTTCAGAGGCTTGTGTTGTGAGACAAATCTTGAAAATTTAATCTAACATAAAATTATAAATGAATGGTGTGATTATAACTGAATGTATAAAGTTATAATCTAAAGTTATAAATGCTAAATGACTAATAAAAATAGATTATCTAAAATCAAAACACAACATACCCGAGGACCACGTCGCTCCTCTTTAGTCATGTAAAGCAAATACTTAGACCTAGGCAATGTGGGAAATCTAAGTAAAGGCATCGTCATCATCCTACCTGAGTGAATCCAAGTTTGATTCGTCTTTGTTTGAAGGTCTTGGCAAATTGCTCAAGCTCCTCAAGGTCACTGGGCTCCTCCAAGCTGGGAGTATCAATTCGCTTTGGTGTTGTCTGGCTCTGTGGAAGTGTCTGAATTGGGGTTGCTGCTATTGTGCGTGTTGGGGTTGCTGGCTGTTGGAGAAGAAACAGAGTAATAAAGATACATAGCATGATTAAAATATGTGTGAATATTTAAGTTAAAAAATTACTAGAGTAAAAGACATATTGCCATCCATTCTCTCAAAACATTCTCCCTTGCTTCAAACACACTTATCTTTCTTGCCATTCTGAAGCAGTTCTGAAGTCCTCTTTTGTGAGCGTCTTTATGAGGTATGATCATTCAATAGAAAGGCAGGCTCCTAAACACATTACGTGTGTCCTCATCTACCTCATTCACTGGATCTGGCTCCATGTAACTTCTCTCTCCTCCCCAAAGTGAAAATGACAGTGAAAGGTAAATGTTTTGCATTGATTCTGGACATTAGAGCAATCAGGACAGTGGAATTAAAAACAATGCAACAAAAAAGACTTCCAGAACTCCTTCAGAAAATGGCAAAAACAAAGCCAGGCATATAATCCCAGGACTTGGGAGGCTGAGGCAGGAGGATCTTCGAGTTTGAAGCCAGCCTGGGCTACAAAATGAATTCAAGG